GGACACCTCTCAGTTCTCATCCTTCTTGACCTCACAGCAGCCTTTGACACTATCAACTACGCAATTCTCATTTCCCGTTTCTAATCTTCCCTCAGCATCACTGGTACTGCCCTCTCCTGGCTAAGGTCATACCTCACAAACCGACATCTGTTCATCAGTATTAACAACTGCACTTCTTCCCTTGCCCCTCTGTCCCAAGGCGTCCCCCAGGGTTCGATGCTTGGTCCCCTTCCTATTCATCCTTTACATGTTCCTCCTTGGCAAAATCATTCGCAGCCATGGTCTCAACTTCCACTGCTACGCTGATGACATCCAGCTCTACATCTCCACTACATCTATCACCACTGAAACTCAGACACTCTGACCACCTGCCTCTACTACATCAAGTCCTGGATGCAAGCAAACTTTCTCAGACTGAACTGTGAAATATTAGACATGATCATCATCGGTCCCATATCCCTCACCAAAACCTCTCACAACTTCTGCCTCACCATTGACAATTCCACTCTGCATTCCTCTCCACACATACACAACCTCTGAGTCATTTTCGACAACAATCTCTCTTTTGAAAAACACGTCAATCACATCACCAGTACCACCTTCTTCCACCTATCCACCCATCACTCTCCCCCATTGCTGCCGAAACTCTCATCTATGCCTTTGTCACATCCAGAATTGACCACTGACTATTCTATATGGTGCACCATCCTAACTTCTAAATACATCCCAACACATCCAGAACTCTGCTGCCCATCTGCTCACCCATTCCAGATCCCACGATCACTTCACTCCTGTCCTCCAGAACCTCCACTGGCTCCCTGTCCCAAAACGCATCCAATACAACGTCCTTCACCTCACTTATAAAGCCCTCCATAACCAGCACTGAGCTCACACTGTGCAGATCAACAGGAAACAGGAAAATATTTAAACAGTAATACAGCAATTATTTTCACTATTTAGTGCATTTAACTGTGCAAGCAACACGAAGCATTAAAAAGTTGATAAGTAAGCAACATCATTAATAGACATCTTCTTGACAAATGCAGACATGCAAAACAGCAACAAAAAGGGAGTCACAAATAAAATACTACTATTATAATCAAAAGACCAAACAGACAATCACGTTGAGATCTGGGAAACTCCTCCTCCTCCACTTCTCCTCTTGTCAGTGTCTTTATAAGCTTCAGTCTCTCTTCTCCTCACACTCCAACCCTGCTCACCTCTCAGCTGGACAGTAAGGGACGTTTACACCACACACTGACAACATGCTGGGGACCCTCTGCACTCTCATCACTGCTCTAACATGTAAGATATTCTTCTCAGTCCTTTTATAGCCCATATTTTCACACACAAACCTTTGACTCATGTATTTTTTTCTGTATGTTGACAGATGTTGATGCAGCCAAAGTGGTGACCCAGACGCCTGCTGTCCACACAGTTTCTACAGGACAAGAGGCTGTTCTCAACTGCAACATTCAGAGAGATGAAAATAAATATGTTTTTTGGTTGAAACAGGTTCCTGGTGAAGCTCCTCAGTTTGTTCTGAAATTTTACCATTCTCACAGTTCACCAAACAGCTATGGATCAGGATTCTCCTCAGACCGATTCAACTCTAAATCCTCATCAAACATAGATTACCAGTTCATCATAAAGCGGACAGAGACAGGAGACTCTGCTGTCCATTACTGTTTAACATGGGATGATTCAGCCAAGGAGTACATATCACAGTGATTCACATCATGACAAAAACCTCAGTGAGAGAGTCACTACAGATTTTAGGAATTTTGCCCAAAATTATTGAATTTTAATAAATCAACATGTAACAAAACAAGAACAGACATGAAATGAATTCCTCTACAGATACAAGGGTGTTTGGAGTGTTTTGGAATATAATGAGACTGATGAAGTGAAGAGACGTTGACAGTGAAAGTTGGTCTCAACAGGATGTTTCAGTTCCACTCCCCTCATTAGTGAGAGTCAGGAGGTTTTTGTACAGCCATGTGTACAAACTGAATCACTGTGGTATTCGGACAAGGCACCAAGCTGATTGTGACAAGTAAGTACTTTTTAACTCATCATAAAACAGGACAGATTTTATGTTTCTGATACATGTCAAGAGAAATTCATCCATTTAATATGTTGCTCATTGTTTATAATATTCAGCAGTTTTTGTGAATTATATATTTACTTTTTTCTTTTTCATCTCCTTTGATACCAGACTGTGTGTTTGACTGCAAAGGAAAGATCTGCAAATGATCACAATATTTTAAATATTTTCTATAAAAATATTCTACAGTTTGTAAATAGTTAAAGAATTTTTTTTCAGATGGGCAACATTAACAAGATTGTGTGTATTTATTTTTACAACTTACTACAAGTTCTGATATCGGGGAAAAAAAACAATGTTAAAAAAATCTGTCAAGAGTATTTTATGTTGTCATATCAGTAATAAATACTGTGCTTGCAATGATTATTTACTAACCTCATAAAGTTTAGGGATAATTTTAAATTTACCTGAATATCATTGTGGCTGTTTGAATTTATTATTATTTTATTTGACAGTAGATAGACACCACGAAAGAAAAGAGATAATTACATTAAACCTTTAAAACAATTTTGGAAGACACAGCCTTAACTGATTTTTATTGTAAGGTAAAAATTGCAATTCATCATTTAAGATATTTCTACATTTCTGAATTATATTTTAAAAAGGAACACTTAATATTTCAGTTGATGATTTTTATTTGTTTTAAATTTCTTTATTTCTTCAGCGTATTTGTTATATTGTCAACAGAACTAATAATGAATCTGTTACTGTCATGTTTTGTTTTAATGATTTGACTCCTGGTTATCTGATGAATGTCCTTTGTGTATTTTAAGGTTGCAGCCTCCCTCCTCCTGTCCTGACAGTCTTCCCTCCTTCCAGTGCTGAGCTCCAGTCCAACAAAGCCTCTATCATCTGTATTTCCATTTTGCCCAGTGAGTCTAAGGGTTTTGCAGATGTGAGCTGGTTGCTTGGTGGGAGTCCAGTGAGCAGTGGGATCTCTACCAGCACCGCTGTTCAGCAAGCAGACCAGACTTTCCAAATCAGCAGCTATCTGGCCGTCCAGACGTCAGACTGGAACATGGATAAGGTTTACACATGTAAAGTGTCTTTGGGCTCCCAGACTGCAGAGAAAAACATCAACAAGTCTCACTGTCCCACTGAAGAACAGTAGAGGAGCACAATGAGCATTTAACATCTGCTTCTTTACTCTTTGTGCTGTTTGCTCATTACAAGGTTTACATGTTAGAAAATATGTGTCTGCATGCTTGTAATAAATGTTGTGACAGTTAGGTGGAGGTGTTGTATCAGCTTTGCAAATGCTGCGTTTTTCAACAATCATTCAATAAAAGAAGAAAAAAAACTGTTGAAAAAGTTTGTGTTTATTTGTACTCATGAAAACATCATTTAAAATGATAATGACATTTGAGAGATTTAGTTGCTTGCAGTCGTTAAGACAATCAGATAAAATGAGCAAATGAAACTGAGTTTTCATCCTCCATCAGTGAAGCATCACCTCTCTACTCCTCCCTCTTGTCCTTCCCAGGATGCACCTGCAGGCCTCCTCTCCTTATTTATAGCTCCATGTAAATGAAGAGGTCAAGTGTCAGCTCTCTGTAAAATCAGAGGGAACTGTCTCTGACTGGAAACACACTGATAGTTTATTATTAGTCATCTTGATTCAAGAGCTATAACGAAGAAAACCAGGTTTCAACAGAGTTAGATCTGAGCTTCAGCAGCCACAACAAGGCGCTAACTGAATCAGCATTTTACCATCTTAAACAAAGAGCAGGAATTAGAGGTCTCATATCCAGATGACATTTAGAGCGACTCATTCATGCTTTTATTTTCAGCAGGTTGGACTGTAATGACCACCTCTGTGGTTCACCCCAAAAAGACCATCAGACAACTTCAGCTCATTCAGACTGCTGTGCCAAACTTCTAATAAGAACCAAGGGCACTGAGCATATTACGCCTGTGAATACCAAAGAACAAAGGCTCCTTTGTAAACGGTTCTTCCACCATCTGCTGGTGACAATCTGCATGTACAAATATATTTTCTCTGAGAGAAAACTGATGTTGAATCAGTCTGTTTCATTTCCTAGTTTTATTAGACTTCTTGCTTGTTCATGCTTAGTAGCCTACCCTTGTTGAATGTCTGGCACCATATGTATTTCCTTTCCACAATAATAGATGATGCCCTATTATCACGCAGTTAATTTTGTGTAGGCCTAATGTTGTCCCTCAGATCATGCCTGGTAACCTTGGAGAACATGGAGACGTTTCTTCTTTCCCAGCAGACTGTCAGGGTGTATGGTCCCTCCATTTAACCACCAGAGGGCAGCAAATCGTCTCCTCTATTATCTTGTGGTAAATGGTGGACTGATTACCACTAAACTATCCCCAACACAGTCTATGTGTTAGTTAGTGGGCAAAATAGCTCTATCACAGTTTTATTTTTCCATTAATATGCATAATTCATAAATTACTGTTTACCCCGTGTCTGCTTTGACCCTAGGACAGTTGACCCCAAAGTGTTGCGGTGTTGCTGGAAACTCATTTTTCCGATTATTCTGACACCACACGAATGCAATATAACATTGATATGGAAATAATTGTCATAAATATATATTTGTAAAACTCATTATTGGCGTGATCATTACAGGACTCGGTGTACTGATGCGTTTAAGAGTGTAGTACTGGAAACTACCTGCTGTTGAAGCGTCAAGCCCGATACACTTCCGGTGTTTACTTTCAAAATAAAATAAAACGTCTTTTGTTTTTTGTTTTTCTTTATTTTATTATGGGTGCATTTTAAATTTGACTCACACACACACTCAAAAAGGAGTAAATAATGATACAAATGTGTCGCTTGTCACTTTTTGTAAATTCCCTGCTTGTGAAAAACAATTAATGACGCCTGGTGTAAATCCGTCTCAGCGGATGTTGACCCTCATCAGCAGGATCAGAGCTGCTAACGCCAACCAACATCAGTTACACCGCGGACAGGTTGCGTGTCTCACAAAACCAGGTAAATTGTCTGTCAGCACACTGACAGCTGCATCATCACATTCTCGACCATACACAATGTTTCACAGTGCTCTGGACGTTTTGTCCATTCACTAGCATGGTTCTGGTTTTATCTTTAGCCTGTTGTTTCTGTGCCTTAGAATGGTGACGCTAGCTAACGTTAGCTAACGACAGCTAGCAAACATGCTTTGCTCTGGCTAAACAAACACACCCTTGTCTTCCAAGTTACCTAACCAGCTGAGTACTAACAAACACTCGCTCTTTAACATCTTTATAAAAACCAGATAGGGTAAATTATCTGCTGCCTGCCTGGCTAGCTAGCCAATGCTAGTAGCGTTAGCACAACTCCGGGTTATCTCCGTAGCTACCGTGTCAATCAACGTAAATGCTAATGTGAGATATATTTGTACAAGATACGTGCCCCAGTTCAAGTTAACACCAGTCCTGGTTTCTAACCTCTATTATGTAACTAAGTTATTCATGGTTAGCTGTGCAAGTAGCTTTGAGCTGGATTATCTGGGGAAGGATCACATCCATGGGAAGGATTTAAAAAACACCAGCGAACTAGCTAGTTGGTTAGCTTAGGAGCGGTCACACCACTGTAAGAAAATGTTTCCTGTCAAACTTTAATGAGGGTTATTTATTAGCTAATAAACACCTAATGTTGCACAAAGAGTTGTTATTGCGGTGGTGTTTCACTTTTATTTTGCTTTTTTGTTTTTGACGTCACTACATGAGCAAAGATGGGGGCAGATCTGCTGATGCTAACAAAGGTCTACATTTTGGGCACCACAGCCACTAATGTGATGGTATTTAATGTTGGAAAACTACAAAATTAACCCCACTAGATTGTCAGAAATTAATCCTGTGCATTGTAGTCATTGCATTTGTTCTGGTGTTGCCCATCTTTGCAGATGTACCTTATTAAAGTAACTTGTATTGTCGTCATATTGCAGGTTGTGGCACAGTTCTTACATCTTTCTTAACCCAGTAGCAGGTAAAATATTTGTTTTCCTTGTTAGCCAGTTATTTGTGACCGTGTTGACAGTTGCAGACATCTGTCAAGGACCATTTCACAATTGCATGTTTTAAACTGTGCAAGACGTGCAGATTGTTCCCATACCATACATAGCTTCGATAATAATCAGGGAGAAGCAGCAACACCGCACTGACACCGTCACAGTTTCACATATGTAGTATTTGTTTCACAGCTGTTGTATTGTGCAGGTCTTATTCTGTAACTGAACCCTTGTGTTTTTTGTTTTAGCCACACAAGACATGAAATAGCACAGTGTTCTATTTTGTTGTGTTGAAATGTGCCATGCAGCCCCCCACAGTTACAGCATTGTAGTAAAATAAGCTCAGGCTCATTGTAAAAACACCAAAATAAATAATCCAGAACTCTAAGAAGTGTTTTGCATTCAGCCACAGCATGCATTGTTAAGCTTGAGAGAAAATCATGCTTCCTACTGAAACTCGAGCTCCGAGACACGGCTGGGGAGCTCTCACTTGTGTGGTTTTTCTCTGTCTTCATTTCATTCAGACCTCAAAAGTTGGTACATTTTTTATCTTGAAAATCCTTTTATTAATGTTTTCTTTACTGTTCTGATAATCATTAGGGCACTCAATCATAACACTGGATTGTCAGCTGCTTTTAAATCCTGCTCCAATGGCCAAAAAAAACAAAATTCATACTACCACTAACTTCTTTGCATTAATTAATAACCAAGCTTCCACAGAAACAGGTCATGGAAGGGTGCATTTCACTTACAAGTGGGAGTAAGCTATCAGGACACGAACATATTTATCTACTTAAAATTTTACTAATAACTGTGGATTTTGGTAAAGCTCACTTAATCAAACATATTTGTTTGTTGTCTTAATTTTAGCATTTTACAAGAGCAGTTTTTAAAAGCTTTAAACTATTTTGATTACTTGGTAACATCAGGCGCTGCTCCAATAAACCAGAGGTCACTGCTCTCCATCATAAAGTTGATTAAAACTTCACTGCATTTTACTCAGATGTTGTGAAACTTGTGGTACATGTGCAGACTGACGTCGGCAGTTACACAAAGTACTTAATTAGCCTCTCTGACTGTTGTTGGGACATTTTAAGGCTTGGGAGAAGTCGGTGTCAGAGAGTAATTAGCCATGGGACTCAAATTGTGCAAAAAAAAATTTCTCTCTCTCACAGAATAAAAGTCCTCAGGAGAGATTTGAAGGGAGCTCTGTGCCCAACCCCTTTCCCTATACAGACTTCCGGCCAGTATGTCCAGTGATCCTCCTCCTCCGTACCCTGGAGGTCCCAGCGCCCCACTTATTGAGGAGAAGAATGGACAACCTGGTAATAAAACCACACATGGAGGGCTGTTGTGATTGTTAACAGGCACTCACAGACGGAGACAGAGTGTGTGTGACCTGATTTTAATTATTGTGGCTTGAGTAAACTGTCACCATGGAGACTTAAAAATAGTCCATCTGTTTGTTTAGAAAGTGATTCACTAACCTAGATACATTCACGAAGGAGAAAATGTTTTTAACGCACTGTGATAATCAAGCAGCGCCAGCTGACCAGTGGCTGCAGTTTGTTTTCATGTTGATTTGAGAATGAAACTTTAATGTGAGAAGATCCAGGCACACAGGACAGCACTGATCTCAGAGACAGGCTCCAGTGACATGAATGTTAAACTTGCTGATGTCATGAAGCAGCTTCAATGTGTGTTAAAGGTATACTATGCAGGACCTGTAGAAAAACGTAACTTTCAAACTAGGGCTGCAACGATTAGTCGACTAATCGATGACTAATCAACTATTAAAATAATTGGTGACTATTTTTGTAGTCGACTTATCAGTTTGAGTCATTGTACTATGAAAATACCCCAAAATACTCTTATTGCAGCTTCTTATATTCAAATATTGGCAGCTTTACACACTCTCCCATGATGGTGAACTAAAACGTGAGTGTCATGAGTACGAAACAAGACATTAGATGACATAATTTTGGGTTTGTGAGACCAACATTTTTCAGCATTTTACCACATTTTTCAATAAAAATCATTAGTCAACTAATCGAAGAAATAATCGTCAGTGAAAATAATTGTTAGTTGCAGTCCTATTTCAAACTTGGCCCCTACTCCTTACACTGCTTGTACGACACTGCAGGCTGTTGTTTCACTGTAGTAACATCACATTTGTTGTAATGGAAAAGCCGACACTTGAGCAAACTAGCTAAGCTAACGACTGGCACCTCCCTGGTCAACAGAGAACAGGCCAAGCGTGCATCCCCATCCTCTCCTTCAGCCCTCTTCAGTGAAAGTAAGAGGGGAAGCCAACTCCTTTAGCTCCACTATATTTGTGTTTTTGTAGTGCTAGTAGCAGTAGTGGTTACGGTACCTGGAATTTGGTACCTTTTTTTCTGAACTGTCTCTTTAATATCAAAAATGTAACTTCTGAACAAGCTGCAGGGGTGAAGAAGTAGACTAAAAAGCAGTTCTGCTCCTCTGCTCTTTTATTATCACACAGAGAGCTAATTATCTGTCTCTGTTTGTCTGTCTGCTTGTGTGTGTGCAATCGTCTAATAGGGATACCAGGCTAGGAATAATATAGAAAAGAAAAGAAGCTGAAACTATCTTGGCAGATCGGCACTGCAGCGATTATTTTGGCTTGCTAGGAACCCAGTGGAGCAGCTGACGGGTTGCTAGCCCCAGTGCTCTGTGGCCGGCTTCCGGGATTCTGGGCACTTAGCGGCACTTTTTCCTCTCTTCTAAACCTGGCATTGTCACTCAGATGCGCTCACAGGTACCGAAATTTGGCGCAGATGGTTTTAACGAGAATTGGTACTCGGTAACCCTGGTTGTGAGTGACGATTGAGAAGGACACCTACTTTTGTATGAATCTTTATAGGAAAATCCTGCATAGTATACCTTTAACCTCGCCACCTGTCAATATACCAAGAACTGTAAACATGTAAATAGAGGGTGAAGTCGTATAATATTTGCTTGTAAGATGGAATCTTGCAGTATGAAATCTTTGCTTCTGTTGACTTTGACTCAAACCTGTGCACACCTGTGTTTAATGCCATTTCTTTTCTGTGTGTCATCTTACAGTAAGAAATGTTCCAATACAGGGACAGCCCTTGCCTCCAGACTACGGTCCTCCACCTTATGAGGCCCCACAGCCAGGCTTTCTTCCCCCACATGTACCTGGAGAAGGGCCCATGCCCATGCCAATGCCTCCACCACCACAAGGTGCTGCAGACACTTTGCATATATTAACACATAAAACCACTTCTTGTGATGTAATTCCAATATTTATTCAATTTTTATGTCTGTGCAGTCCAGTCCAGGTTCTGTCCTCACCTCAGCACAGCATCTGGCTTGCTAATGTCCTTCGCAAACACTCGTTAATAGAGTATAGAATGACTAAAAGCTGCATATGTAAATTCTCAGTGGGTTTGGCAGTACTATTGAATTCAATGTTTTCACCAGTACACTATATTAAGTGTCATTTCCTTCTGCACAGGAGGCCCCTACCCACCTCCGCCCGGTCACTATCCTCACCCAATGCCAGGACAGATGGGCCCTGGTCCCAGTCACTTTGTCCACATGGGAGGTCACACAGCGACCGTCCTGGCTCCTCCAGGAGCAGCCACCACTGTGACCGTACTGCAGGGGGAAATGTTCCAGACCTCACCAGTGCAGACCGTGTGTCCGCACTGTCAGCAGGCAATCGTCACCCGCATCTCCCACGATGTCGGCCTCATGAACACACTCTTCTGCCTCTTCTGCTTCTTCGTAGGGTGAGTAACACACTGATTGAGGTCACCTAGCAGTTGTTCGCGGTGGGTTTTGTCAGCCCTGCACCCTCTAATTTATAAACATGTATTACACACGTAAGACTTGAAGAAGTGACACCATTTCTGAAAGACACAGGGCTCATTTACTCAGGTGGAAGAATTTAGATTTTTAAAGCTGGGCCTGTGCATATGCAATTCTCTGAAGGGGTCATCCATAAATTATCAGGATGTTTTTCTGTCTCAAGAATGGTTAAACAGTTAATAGATTCATATCACTTAGACTTAACCTCATCCAGAACTTTATGGCTGGCATTTATAGACATGTTCATTCCAAGTCATTTTAAGTCACTGAAGAGAGCTCCTTGTGCGTTCGATAGATGTAACATTTTTGTTGGTGCTGTGTGCAGCATTTTAAGTGTAGGTCTGGTATTTATTAACCTGGACCGAGTCTTCCCATGTTTTTGTTTGTAAGTGATTAACTGCAACAATAATTTATGAAATTGGTCCATTATTGAGCAAGATGTTGCAACCGGCAGCAGTGAAGTAGGCTGCAATAAAATCACTCGGGGCATGTTTTCCTGTCAATTTACATCTATTGAAAGGACTTATTTTTGCCACTGACAGGCTCAGATTATTACTTTAAGTAGGGCTGGGCGGTATGACAACATTTTCATATCACTTTTTTTTTTTTTTTTTTAAATCATATCGGTTTCACAGTATTTGACGGTATTTTGCTTGGGTTTGGCCCACTTGACATGCTGCTGTGTTGTGCTATGGCCTATTCAAGTGTTGGAATTTGTTATTTACGTGACAACGCCTGAACGCAACGCAGGCTCAGCTCCATTAGTGCCGTGCTAAATTATAATTGTCTGTCTGTGTGAGTGAGTGAGAGATTCATTTTTTTCATTTTCCATTTTTATACAGTGTATGGTTTCACCCCGATGCACGCGCGCTCATCGGGGTGAAACTCTGCCGTGCGAGATACAGAGAGCAGAGGAGAATTGTGAATGCGCGACCATGTAGAGATAGAAATGACATGCCGTGGTGTAAACAAGATAAATAACATAAGGATATTTATCTTGTTTAATAACAGGACAAGGTATAGACCTGTTCTATAGGCCTGGATATGAAGCGTCCATAGCGCCAAATGATATAACGGTAGTTGAATAAAGAGCTAGAGCTAAAAAAAAAAAAATCAGCAGCAGCGGTGTGCTGCTGCTAGTTGCATATAGGGGAAACACTGCTCTTTTTGATTTGAGTTCTTCTGGGTCATCGTGTTCTTCTTCAGCAACGTGTGCAGTTGCTTTGCTTTCAGGACTCTCTCCAGCAGCCATTCTCGCCTCTAAACTTTTCTCTAAGCTCTCACTCTCGCCAGCTCTAGCACGCCTGTGGTGTGCAGTGGTGAAATGGGTCCCCACTGAAACACTTTCCCACCGCTCATGTTCCGGAAGTTGTTTGGGCTTTTCACCGGTATTGCGGTATATGAAAAATTCATATCATAATGAAAATAAATACCGGTTTTTGGTACAAACCGGTATACCGCGCAAAGTGTCTGAAAATGTATAGAAAGCCTTTTTGTGAAATAATAAGGTCATCTTTGTTTCACAAGAAACAGCCCTAAAATTGCCACTACCAAACCTACCTGACTGATTAACTTAGTTTTAGCATTTATAGAGGCAGCATATTTTCATATCTAACTGAGTGAATTACTGGGTTAATGTCAACCAAACCAGAGATGGCAATTGCTGGAACAGTGGAAAGACAATCCAAGACTGTTTTTGTGAGTTTTATTTTGTTTCCGTTGACTTTGAATGAAGTGTGCATTACAATTAAAAAAAAATACTGTTTATTTAAATGGAGTTTGGTGGGTTTGACGGTAGTGGCAGGTAGGTTTGGAACCGTTTCTGGGGAAACAAAAAGGATCTCACTCTAACAAAAACACCTGTCTCTGTTGGGATACTTTCGAAATGTTGTCAAACACTTCCAATAGTAATTTGAACATGTCAGTGGCAAACACAAGCACTTCTACTGTACATAAATTGATGAGCGAACATGCCTAAAATGGTAACATTGCAGCCTGTTTAGCCGCTTTTGTCCACAGCGGTCTTGCTCAATACTCGGAAAAAAATCAGAAGTTGTTGTCCTTAGTCATTCGAGCACAAAAACATGAGAAAAACGGCTCCATGTTGAAAATGCCAAACTTACCCTTAATTTCATTATTACGTCATTATCTAACAGTAGATGTTCATTAAAATTCCAACCATCAATACAGTCTGAAAGGTTTGATCAATCCAACACATCCTACCCTCCATTCAAGAATAAAATAAAACAAATAAACAAAATAGAAAGTTACAAAAAACAAAAAAAAGGGATTATCCTTTGATGAATCCTCAGATTTCAATATATTAAAATCTGTGTACAAAAAATACTGTCAGAAAACGAAACTCAAGCACGTAGTCGTGCCTTTTAACTGTTCTCAGTGGCCTGTATATGCAAAGCAGGTGCACCAGTTTATGGTTTGACACATAAGGAAGACAGAATATGCAGACGTGCTCTTGATTCAGTTGGCGTGGTTAGCTATTTTGTGTTATGCATCGTCACAGAGCTATCTCTGACATCTGTCTGAATAGTGTGTCTGTAACTATTGGTCTTCACTTCACCCAAATCCGGTTGAACGGGTAGATGTTGCCTGTCCCCAGGCATGCAGAGAATGCATGGGCTATAACATTGTTACTTTAGTCTGCATGCTCAGACTGAAGTGTCGTTTCTTCTACTTGACTTTCACTTCTTATTTTCTGGGCACTTACTGTACTGTCTGTTACCACATGCAGGTGTTTGCATTTTTTAATTAGTTTTTTGTGTCTTTTCCTCGTTTTCAGGTGTGATCTCGGCTGCTGCTTGATTCCCTGTCTGATTGACGACCTCAAGGATGTGACACACACCTGCCCTTTTTGCAAGGGCTATATCTACACATACAAGCGTATATGCTAACCACCGACAGCTGTATGCTACAGAGACGTGTACATGCACACACATAAAACTCACAGTTCCTCCTGCTGGTAGTGACAGGCTTTTTTCCTCCCATTTTTGCAAAGTGTCGTGTAGCCCTCTTAAATTGTAAGTGCAGTTTTTTCTCATTAGTTCACGGAATATTTACTGTATATATCTTCCAGCATAATTCTTTCATGTGTAAACATGCATTTGAAATGTACAAATCTCACTGAACTACAGAAGACGTAGGGCACAAAAAAAAACATCCACAGAGATGGATAGGCAGCTTGCACGCAGGTGCATCTGATCCGGTATGGAAACTCTGAGACAAGACCTGTGATGTTATGCATGATAAAGGTCAAAAAAATAATCTGGATAGACAGCCTCAGTAGGAGAAAGCTGTGAAAATGGTCAGTTTATTTATTTGAATCATCTGTGAATCTTGCTGAGAAGCAGCGTATTGAAGACAAACATGCTGGGTTAGCTTTGTTTTGTTTTTTTCTCATATTTATTTCAGATATTTTATCCATTATTTTAACAAGTTAATATTGAGAACTGTGAACATTTTTGTCCATGTATGATCATTTTGGTTCTAACAGATCTAGTTTTTCCTTTTATCATTATCCCTTTTCGAATGTGAGCAAACTAACGAACCATTCGCAGCTCGATAGACCGACGTATTTGCTTGTTTGGCGAACGCCCGAGATTGGTGTTACTTGCTATATTTATTAATCTTCAGGGCTTCAGTCAGTAGTCACAAAATGCCGAGTGATGAACAGTTACCGCCCTCTGTCTATGATGTACTTATTTTGATGATAAAGCCAAGATATGCACTTTAAGTTGGAATTCAGTCCCCCAGCCCCCCCTCTGATGCATTCATGAAAACTCTCAACCTCAGCTGTCTGAACTCTTAGCAATCACATGTCCTCTCTCTAGTTAAGGATGTTGGCAAACAAACTACAGTGGTGGCACCACCATCATCACAACATTGTTTAGCCTGTGACCCTCCTAATGCGGCATCAGACCTTTAAGATTACCCGCATTGCTCAGATGCATGTTAGATGATAAATACTGATGTCTTTTGACTAATATCAAATAGTGACCTCCGCTAGGAAATAAGCTTCAAATAAATGATTGTATCAGACATCCTACAAAACAACATTGTGATTCCATAGAGATTACTACTAACAACGAAGGAGCATTTTATGGCCACCACAGCATGCCCGACCTGCCGTTCACCTTCACTCACTAAGTGCAGTTTGTCTGCATGAGCCACACATCCAAACAAATAATTCTCACCGGCTAGTTCCTTGACTCTATGTGCATTTGATTTTGTTTTTTCTTCTTGAGGCTAGCTAAGCTGTGCAAGAAAGTGAATTTTGAGTTGAAGGATTGCATTGAACTTTTAATACGAAGTACTGTATGCCATTGTTGTGGATAATGCTGGTCTGCATTGCTCTCTAAATGTCCGTGATATGTATAACTATGTAAGTCAAAATTTGTTTGACTGTTGTATACAGGTACTATTTTATCAATAAAAATCAGAACATGATTTTTTTTTTTCACTCATTTTAATGTTACTTAGAAAATGAACCATGTCTGGAAAGTGAGTTCTATAAGTAAATATCTGCAAACACAAAAAGAAAATGTAAGTTTCTTCAGCTGTGTCAACACACAGAAGATGAACTGCACTGAGTGGAAATCATCAGAAGCCGAAAAAAAAAAATCTACCAGAGCCTATTTACGAAGCTCAAAAATGAAGGACAGGGTATAAGGGTCACATCTGTGCCACATAAGCATTAAATATATTTTACAATTTTCAAAGTGCACAAGGTTTCAGTCTCTCCATCTGTGTCCACACTGGGCATTGCAGCATTTGTAGAAAGTCGTCATCGGCTCGTCGGCTGATCTGGTCTGAATCTGCATGAAATACGCCCGAGGATGCTCTCACTTCGGACAGGTTTCTGTGAACATACGGCAAGTACAGAGTGTCAGTGTGGAATCACCACAACTGCCGGAGTTACCATACATGGTTTCTACTGTGTAAAGGAGAGGACATCATGTATGAGACAACGCAGCTGTAAAAGCTCACCTGATTAATATTCACACTGATACCAGGATCGTCTCCAAGAAAAACAAATCTGTGTGTGCGTGCAGCCTTAATGTATTCTTATGAAGCTTTGCTTGAAAAACAGAACAGCTCTACCAACTATAACAGACCCTCGAGGAATGAGGTTTTCCTAAAAAGGTCACCAGTGCTATATAGTGCAAAGAAAAAAAAACAGACACCCCATGATTTTTGGTATTTTTGTGTGCATAAAATGATCCTAAATAGAAGAAATTTTATTTATTTTTTTTTAGTTTGGGTCCACAAACTTAAAGTTTAAAAATAATTTCAAAATAAAGAAACTGCACATTTGTAGCTATATAAAAATAAGTTGCAATGAACCAAAATAGGACATGCAGAGTAATGCACGCCCTTTTTTGCACCAGTGTTTGGGATAGCGAGAATTATTTTGTTGTATGTTTAAAAAAAAAAAAAAAGATCTTTTAAATGTAAAACCTGATAATGGATCTCAACAAATTTTAGGGGAGTAAGATGCGTGCAATATTCTTCAGTATCCTGATGTATTCTTACCAACACCACTCTTTAATGTATATTTATCATATGATGCACCTATTTTTGTTTCTATTTATGTATATATTGTGTTGTACATTGTAGTATAATCCATGTATTTTTATATTTGTAAATGTTCCATACTAGTTTTATACACTGTAATGTAACATAAGGCACATCTTTTATATTATTTTCACACTTTACATACTATAAATATTTATATTTTTATGTGTGATACATACCAGTGTTTAGCATTGGAGCATATTGCATATATTTTATTTTTAAATTTGACATATTTCATACTTTTATACTCCTTATTTTTACTTCTACAACTCTATGCTTGACATCAGAGTGATTGACCTATTACAGTGTCCCCCTGGGGATCAACAAAGCATTTCTGATTCTGATTCTGAAGACAGTTTAAAGTCAGAAATATGAGATTATTATTACAGGTGTGTTGATATTATCACAATCTTTTGCCCTTGACAGCAATATAGTTTGACAACACAGTAATTCTGTAACTGTAAAACACACACCTGACGTCCTCTCTGTGTAACTAAGGGATGATTATCTAATGAATTTACTCACATTTTAAAGCCTTATTACTTCCACAGAATCTTATAGGCAGCTGATAGCAGACTCTGTGTACCCACATGCACATACAGGTGTAATAAAGCACATAATAAAACACGGCATTCTTAACTTATGGGTTGTTCAATTTCAATATCAAACATCTATAAAACAGCAGAAGGCTGAGCTGCTCAGATGTCTAACTCAGGCTGTAATTTTAATCTCTTAAAGTGAGACACAACAGGTGAATAGGGTAAAATGTTAAAATAATAGATATCATCATGAAACTTCCCCAGTTGATTAAGTACAATAGTATGAAAAAAATGTATTACAAGTTTTTACAATTTTAATGTTTAATTATGCAAATTAGACATTACATCATTAAATATGTGCTAATTTGCATATATTTTAGCATCTGATAAAGCCACGTGCAAAATTATTTTTTCATTTTGTTTACATATAACATGAAAAAAAGGGATTTAAGGATATCTGCTTTTATTACCTAGAAAATCAAAATATACCGTCCATAGCCTTAAAAAAAATTTTTCGCCATATTTTTGGGAATAAAATGTCACATAAATCAGGCTAGGAATGATTTATTAACAAATCCCTCTGTAAATATCTTCAGAATATAGCTAGGTGTATAACTGGAAAGTTTGGTGTACATAGGTGCTACAGAGGCTGCGATGCTCGACTTGGGAGTTTGACAAAAAACTCATTTTGAGAAAATGGCATAGGGGAATTTAATACATTTCTATTGGAAACAATTGCTCACAAACAGAATAAATGTTCAGGCCCTTAGTAATAACAATGTAGTATATTTCAAGCTCATAAAAATTGATCATTTAATAACATGACAGGCATATAAGGCCTACAACTGTTGTAACCCAACTAATAAACATACTGGCCTACACTGCACAATGCTAACTTCTTGCCGCAAGTAGATTAAATGTATTAAAATAAACGTCTAAATGTATCATTTGAATGTTTTCTTTATAGCAGTTTGAAAGAATACATATTCAAGGAGTAAACTAGCCCAAAATCTCAAAATTGACCACTGCATGCCATGTCTTGCCTTAATAAATACAATTTACTTATTACTATTGTATTAATTAAAAAAACACACTGTATAGATCTCAAATAAATATGAACAGCTTGTAATAATTTTAACATTTTAATTTAGTAGCACAACAGATGGTGAAAAACATCAAAGGGGTTATTATTTTGCAGAGTACTTTACGTCATGTGTCAAAGTAAACATGCATAACAAGGTAAAGTAAACGGTGTTGTTGTGGACAAGTGGGGGTGAACACCAGTGCAAAAATTCTGGGTGATAATATAAACCACATGCAGTATATAACAGAGACCATGGAGGATTTCTGACATGACAGAAAACACTTGCTTCAGTTTTATCAAGGCAAAAAGACCCAGGATCACTGGCCTATGATGCAGTGATAAACTGAAGCCTGCACACCATTAATTTAAATGTCACTTACCAGCAGTTGAGTCCACGTTTTCCCAAGCTGCAGCTCCACCCAGAACATCATCCACCTCTTTCATCTTGGGATACTTCCTGTTGTTTACCTGCAGGAACAAAAATATAGATATATATGTCAAACACAGACACGATAGCCACATCCTGTGAGCCAAGGAGCAGCATCTTTTTTTGACCAAAATACAAAATGTTAGACAGTAATACTTATTAATAATACGACTTTGAAGTGAAGTGATAACAACATAACTCACCTTTCTTGTGATGTTGTGGACATAGGGACAGGTGTTACAGGCGAACCTCATACACCTCTGTCCTTCCTCGACTATTAAAACATTTCCGCAGGTTGGACAAAAAAGCAGCATGTTAGCCGGTAATAAATATTTATCTAACAACTACAAACTAAATAACAGACTGAATATGAGCGCTATATTTTACACAGCTAGCAAAATATTCAAGTTTCCCTGCTGTACACAGTTTGGTCCATGTGAAGCAGCGGAAGTGGCTGCCGGAAGTAGGTGCTACTGTTTTTACCGCTCGTCGGGAAACGAAATATAAGAAGAGGATGTGGTTATATATTCATTTTACGACCACTCCAGAAATAGTATCTACGACGAATAATGTATAATAATATAATACACATGTTTACCCAATAAAATAATTAAGTGGGGTCTGAATTTACGTTCACGAAGCGGAACCATTTGCTTTGAGCTACGGTTGCCTTCAGGTATGCGATTTTTACCGTACACAGTGTTTGTTTACTTCATGGCTCCTTTCAGCGAACAGTTTTCAGTAAAGAAATGTTTGTCAGCTGCATTAGTTGACCCAGAGTCTCGCTAAAATGTTTTAGTATTTTTCACTCGTGTTTATTTATATCTTTATTTATTTATTTTAAGTAGTTTTGACATTTCCCACGTGACAAACCGGGCTCAATGATGGAGGAGCAGAGTCAGGACACCTGCGTCGGAGGTGTGGAGACGTCTGTAAAGGTTGAAGAGGTGGAAGAAGAGAAGCTGACAGAGATGGCAGCTTTAGACGCAGAGGAGGAAGATGAGGAGGCTCTTCCTCACTCAGAGATCCTAGATATTTTCGAGGAGGGACTGGCTCGACTGGTGCAGGATCCTTTACTCTGTGATCTGCCAATCCAGGTTGGTTTGATCTGTCCGTGATGCACTTGTGCTGTGATTAAAACACAGAAATATCACCATGCAGTATGCATACACACACACACACACACACACACACACACACACACACACACACACACTCCTGGTTGAAAAACATCCTGATTCCTTTAATCTTTCTTGCAATGTCTCTAAACTTGTTTGGAGTCCCTTAGTTTCAGTTTCATTTTGCTGGTAATGCTCAAACGTGGTAAAACATAGTTCCCACTCCACATTGAACGTCTAAGACATCTCCTGCCACTACAAGGCTCTCCTTTGCCAAGAGGAGAACATAGAGAAGAGTCCCCTCAGTCAGCTGGTCCTGAGGCTCACCTCCTCTAACAGCACAAAGCCTCACACAATTTAGCCCAACCACATTATAGCTAAAGAAAAAGAAAACAACATCAACTATTGGACATCTACCACAAAAACCCAAAACAAACTTCAGTGCTATTTGGCCCTAAACAGACAGTACACGATGGCAAACTATCTGACCACTGTGACAGATCAGAAACTGAGAAACATACTGACTATGTGCAGACTCAGTGATCACAGCCTGGACATAGAGACAGACACAGGTAGACCTGACTGCTGTGTCAGCTCTGTCCTCAGAGACAGGTGGAGACAGCAACATCTCCTGCTATAATGTAGCACACATGAAGACACCAGGACAAAGTTCTTAACAAAAATTGCATGAAAACTCCAAGATTTTCATTCACTCTCTGACCAGACTAAATGCAGCATCTGCTTGGAGAAAATAGCATCAGCACCATAGATAGTCAGTGTGTGCCACAGCCTAAGAGACAACCAACACAACAACATATGGTTCATCTCACCACAGATCACACTCTGCCTTTTTATTTACTCCTTCACATTTTTCTCCTTTAAAATGTATGCAACAACAATGCATTTGTAATAATGCATTGTTGTTAATTGTTTTTGAATTTCCCTATTTTAGATTGTACTTGTGCTTTGGCAACACGTAAGAAATGTCATGCCAATAAAGCTTATTGAATTGAATTGACAAAACACAAAGTCTAAGATGACTACCCCTCATCCACCTTTTCTGCAGAGATGTGAGTTTAAATAGACATAACTTGCAGAATAAAGATTCTAAGAATCTTTTTTTTCTTAGATGAAATTAACTCCTTTTTGATTTTTTTTTTGTAATTGGTTTCATTTACAGATGCACCTGACATTATTGTTTAGTCTGTCTGTTGTTTTGTAAATGGATAAATCATTTAGTCTATCAAACATGTTAAATAAATTCACAGAGCCCAGGGTGACAATGATTAGTTCCTTATCAAAATGACTGGCAGTTAGCTCTCTGTCTAACAACCAATCAAATGCTTGAATAAGTGTATTAGCGCGATTAAGTGTGATATATAAAGATTATTTACAGCAGGTCAACTTTTTCATTTAGTCCATGGCTTAGGGTCATATTCTGTGACAAATTGTGTTTAAGCCGACTACTTAGAAAGGTTAGTGTTCAGGGTAAAATACAGACCAGCACCTCAGCTGCTCTGCACTCACTTTTATGTGATCAAATTTGTATTTTTCCAGTACTGGAGGTTAGATGTATAACAAATGAGGACAAGGGCCCTCATTTGTCCTTCCAGTCCTCAAAAACTTGGTCATGAACATTATCAATATATCATCTTTATCTTTAGGTGACTCTGGAGGAGGTGAATTCTCAGATTGCATTGGAGTACGGCCAGGCGATGACTGTGAGGGTTTTAAAGGCAGATGGCGAGATAATGCGTAAGTGTTGAGATGGTTTGTTGTTTCATGTTGAAGCATATTATCATAGCATGTTGTATTCATAATAATTTATTTTATAAATATAGCCATTGTGGTGGTGCAAAATGCCACTGTGCTTGACCTGAAGAAAGCCATTCGCAGATTCATGGAGCTGAAACAACAGCGTGAAGGTGGAGTGAAACATGTCAGCTGGTAAACAAACAAACACACTCAACAAACACTAGAAAATAAAAGGGATTTAGGATTCTTATGTGAATGTTTGCTTCCTTTCTTTCACAGGAGATATGTTTGGAGAACTTATCAGTTGGTGTTTCAGGGGGAAAAGCTCGAGGACGACAAGATGAGGATTAAAGAGTAAGTGTGGGAAATAATCACCTCGTTTACCTGTGGTGGTGGTGATGATGTTATCATCAGCGCCGTTTGACTTTATTTCCTCGTCCTCTCTGTATTTCTCCAGCTACGGGATCAGGAACAGAGATGAAGTGACATTCATGAAGAGACTCAGGAAAAAGTGAAATATCACAGTAAAAAAAAAACACCCGGTTCCTGCAGTGGTGCTACCTGCCTGGCGGACTTAAAATTATTTTCAGTATTCATGATTGCAAGACTTTTTATTTCAAGTGTTTTGGCAGTCTTGTGACATTGCTGTGGACATTACAAGCTGAGCTGCTTCTCCATGAGGCTGCGTGTAAATATGATATCTGGAGCTTTTTTACTGCCAGTGTGCAGTGATTTTGTACGGCTGTTTTTAAACATTAAACTATATTACGGTATTTTGTTTTTATTTCTGCTGTGTGTATTTGTGTTTTGCTTGCATCTCAACAAGAGCATCCTGACACATTTTCCAGAGAGGGCAGTTGTAACCTGAGAATTTGAATATTCCCTGGTATGACTGAACAATACCTGCCCTTGTTGACTTAGTTTGAATGTTACCTGGACAGGAGACGCTGAGAGCGGCTGAGGATATACGGTAACACACACTCTCTTTATATAATTTTATTTCTAATACAGGACTTTGTTCGGTTAGTTGGGATGATTAAGTAATGTTTTTAACTTATTATAGTGTAGTAGTGAGCACGGTGCAGTTACAGCTGGAAATTTGTGTGGAAATGTGTTGCTTTGAAAATGAAAGTCTAAATTATTTTTTTGGTACTTTTGCCCACTCATATTAGAAGTTGTTTTATAAGGTCTATGTCAACTGTCTCTTTATTATTCATTATCTTTTGATAAAACAGTGCTCAATATTTAGTAAGTTTTCTAACCAGCCACCTTAAAATGCCATTGAGGAGTCTTTTAATTATGAATTCAACCTAAGACTTGATATAAAATGCACTAAAGGTACAGTGGACAGTGTGTGAGCACTTTTTTGTTTCATTTATAGATTTAGGCCATTTTTATTTTTGTATTATGCAAATAGTTATGCCTAGCCCGTGTGGGCTTACCAGACAACATAAAATAAAACAAGCCGGCACCAGAGTCCAACATACTTACTGTCTTAGAATACTGAGAAAAAAGAAAATGGAAATATAAATTTGTTCTTCATGGCAGACAATTTGGAGATGCACTACCACACTGTCGACCACCCACTCACTGTTTTTGTTATTCCTCCTCAGCCATAAATGGATAACATGACAGGCATCATGACAAAGAGTCTTTTTATTACATACTTTTAGTCTGCCTTTTTTTAATTGTGAAATGTGTCCATGTTCCATATTACAGATAAGAGAGAAATATGCAAACGGAACCTGGGAATCGATTTGCCTATATAGATTTAACAATGTTTTCATTTGAGAAGATTAACCCAATGCTGTCTGCAGAGTTATATATTATACCTCCACTGTACAGTATTGTGTTAATTTCACATTGAACAAATTATGCTGAAGAAGCCTGCTAAGTCTCATAATATGATAATGCACCCATTTTGAATTTTATCACTTCATTAAATGGGCGTTAATAGTGGATTTTAGCAGGGTCCTGCTACACCAGCTACTAAGTTCAGAACGCTGTTATCAGCCCATAAGGTGCCAAGCGGCAACCTCTGGGGCTGAAAAATGAAGCCAACACAGAAGTGCTAAAAACTGCAGTTCCTAAAATGGCCACTTGAGGCTGGTGCCAGAAGCTAGGCAATCCCCTTAGACCCCCATGTTAAAATGCCCAGCTTTACAGCAAGAATAAACATGTTTACAGCCTGGTACAAAATAGTTTTGGTCTCTATACCTAATGTCAGCATTCATGTCAACTGTACAGGGGTGAATCTTTATATAACTCACTTGTTTATGTTTTATTAAGGCCCAAAGTAATGCATAATTAAGGATGGGCCGCTTTGAGTAACAGGCTGTCTGCTGATAGTTTACTTGGCCTCTTAGTCAGATCCAGCCCTCGCTCCTGTGCTACCCTTTTGCCCAAATATAGTCACTTCTGGCTCCAAAAAACTAAATGGTTATGGCTGAATTGCTGAACTTGATGCTTTAAAACAGGAGTCCACAAACCAATGGGTGATGTCACAGTAACAACAATCATTATTTTTAGTCTTTGTTAAGTGGGAGGTCTAGGTACCGACATTGTGTGGTTGGGTTTAGAAAAATCAATTAAAATACCTATGCTTTTTACTAATGTAATGTTACATGATATCCGTTATATAGGTAAAATAAGTCAATGTTGACTATTGGTTTCACACAGGACATGAACCTTAATCTCCTGGGTGAAAGTCCTGTGTTTGTTTGACCCATCCACTACCATGTACAACTCCCTCCAGAGGTGGACTTTCTCACTCTTTCTCACTCTATACCAACATTACATCACCTGACTTCCTACGTCAACGCATAAGTTTATATGTACTCCCTTTTTGTGGGGAAATAGATACATCCATTTAAAATGTAACTGTGACTACCCTTATGCTCCCTCTGTGTTGGCATGGATACATCCACCAGGGGGCTGCACAACTTTTACCTCACCACTGTTCACCTCTATTTCCTGTCCAATTTCTTTGAAGCTGTTCCATAGTTACTGTTTGTCTTTGTGCCCGAGCAAAGTAACATCACACAGATGTTAAAATTTTTTGACCAACTCACATAACTGCTCTACAAAAAGTTCTGCCATTTTTAAAAAGTCTTCGTCATGTCCGGTGGTCTGGTCTCGCTTGAATTATTGGCTACACTGCCCCCACAATTTCCAGTGGTATTGCACTGTTTCATCAGTATCCTTAAGCTCTCAAATGAGGTACACAAATATAGACGAGTCAGCATGACATGAACGCAGAGTATGGACTTGTCTGCATACGTATCGAACCTTAACAATGCCTTAAGGGTAAACACGGCCATTAATAGGCTGATAATGGCCTTCTGAACCGACTAGCTGGAGTAGCAGGACCCTTTTAACCCTGTCTATGAGACTGGTAACCACTAATAATGCCTATATAATTGGCACATTCAGACGTAACTGCATCAGTACTGAACATTTTGCACCCTAAACATGTATAAACATACAGTAACCCAAATATCAGACCTATAATCTAACAGCAATCCACTCATTCGCTGTGTCTCTTCAGCATCCATCATGACTTCCCAAGACAACAAGCTGGAAATGATAGCTACAGAGCTGAAATCTCTTTCAATCAAGAGACAAGAACTTCTAGAAAGGAGAAAAATGAACTCCATTTTTCAGGAATTGAGGAATCGGATCGAATTCAAACAAACAGGTGAAGTATGAACGAAAGTCTCAAGAATGAGACAGATGTTTGCAACATGAAAATGAAGTGGCTATCTCAAGTCTTTTGCATATTTTTGTTTTGTTTTTTTGCCTCCGCTGTCTCACATGTATGAGTATGTAATTATTCTGCCAGAGGGCGCAGCGACATATGATCATGAGATTGACAGCATTGATGCTGACCTGAAACACCTAACAGAAAAGAAGCGAAAGCTCCAAGAATGTCAAGAGAACATCCTCAATGCCAAAGATGAAAAATATTCCAAGAAAGGTGAGACCAACTTTACTGCGGCAAATTATTACTCATCATCATAGTTTGGTTTTGTAACTTTTTTTTTTTTCTGTTTTGTTAGAGGCCAGTTTCACCCCCAGTGAGATCACTGTGCCTGCTGAGCCTGAACCCAAAATATTCTATGTTGAGCCTCCACCTAATGTCCCTGGTGAGTCAATGACATACAGATGCTCCATTTGACTGTTCAATTTGCCTGTCACACTTGTAGTTGTCACATCTAGTGAGAACGGATTTTAGTTGAGAAAAGCAGATCATTATTATTTAGTTAAAGTGAAGTTAGTTGATTTTGAACATCATTTTACATTTGGAATAACAGTATGTAGGGTTGACAACAGAGCACATGAGGATGTTACATGTCTGTCTCCTTCAAAAATGACTGTCAGAGTGCCTCTACCCCCTTTCAGAGTGACATTTTGAATCATAATGTTTACCATGGCACACATGAACTCAGTTAATAGTTCCAACTGTGCAGTTTTCACTGGCAGAATTGGAGGCTTTTGACTATGGCCCCTAGGACCCCAATACATTGGTACTTTTAAAAAGCACTAATTAAAACAGAAACAGAAAAAAAATATAACACAATGTTGTTCGGTCACTCGTTCTGTCACACCTGGAGTACTGCCGAGTCATCTGGTGAAATGCTGCTCAAAAACACCTTAAAAGGCTTCAAATTACACAGAACAGGCAGCCAGGTCAGTTCTTTGTTGGTCTTTTCGTGCCAATGTGTGTGAGATGTATGATAGACCATCTTGGCTGACTGTGGAGGCTAAACTAATATTTAGTCTTTTGTTATTCATGCATACTGGCACCTCAGTTTTTTGGTAAACTAGTATATAGTGTTTTTGTCATGGGTATGTGACACATCAAGTGAGCACTGGTCTTCTGGTGGCACTATTTTTTTTTTAAATAACAATTTATGTTACGACACATTCTCACTCCGACCTTGTCACACATCACGATTGGTCACGGACTTTCCACGTCCACATTCGTGCAAGGTACCCTGGGTGCGCTGGCTTGTGACGTTCTGCCTGTTACATGCATTGTCTTCTTTCAAAATTTATTTCCGTTTTCACAGGAAATTTAACATTTACATACAGTCTCAAAATAAATAAATTTAAGTTTTTTCCCCTTCAACAACAAACTCACATGGTTGGGTGAAAGTCAGTATTTTGTTGCACCCATCCACTGACCATGGGAAACCTCGCCGCCTTAATTTTTGTCCTTTTTCCGCCATGTTTCCCCCTTATGCTAGCAGGTGCTGTTAAACTATAATGGCAGCTAGCCACGTATCATGCAGATGTTTTTCGGCCACTTCGGAATGAGACCAGGCTCTACCATGTTTTTTAATTGCTACTAAAGGGTACTCACATTATTCTAAGTGCCCTTTTCATTCTGGAAGGTTTAGAGAAATAATGAACAAGATGTTTGATGGGAAAACTAACATGAATTATCCCTGTTCTTTACAGCCCCTACAGTGATTCTGGACATGGAAAAACTTCCACCATGTCCATGCAGGACGCAGTGTCCAGAGTGCAAAAAGTTCATCATAACAGAGACCTCTACCTCTGTCAGCTCTGTCACCTGGCTGGTGTGTTTCATGACAGCTCTGATGGGGTATAAAGCCATTCCTTCATCCTGGTGAAATATTAATAAGAAAACAAATCACAACTTGTTTGGCCTGTTTCTGTTTGTGTAGCTGGTGTTATGGTCGTACGTTTCCAGGTTTGTTGACATTTTATTTTGTTCCTCTTCCTTCTTTTGCAGCTGCGTGGCTGGCTGTTGCCTCATTCCCTTCTGCGTCGATAGGTGCAAATCTACCATACACAAATGTCCCAACTGTCGAACGTCAATCCGAGTTGTTAAACAACTCTGAGAGGGAAGCAGCTGGTGAGAACTTGAACATCGACCTAATGGTGATGTAATGTTTCAGCATTACAGAGGTTATCTGACTGAATATCAGTGGCTGAGGATGTTTGTCAGCTTAAACATTCAGGTGCAATGACTTTGGTTTAATGGAGCACATGTCAGAAGGAACATGCAGTGGTGAGGTGACTAAAGTCTGCCTGTATGTAAATGTATATTACATTAGATTTTCAGGATGTATCTGTATATTCAAACTGATCTTTTACTGAACTAGAATATCAGATCAATACTATCAATGACTGTAAATATACTGTAGTACTTCCTGTAGTAAATCATGTAAACCTCCAGTCATCTCTTAAGGCTTACAGATGTGGTGAGCTGTTTGTTTCTTCAGCAAAACTACAAAATTTAAGTCTTCTTGTATGTATATTTATTTATTAGAAGCACAAAAGGGGAAATGGCATAATGTGGTTGGTCATAGACTTGTGGTGAAATCCAAAATAATCTCTGTATTTACAAAATGACTAACATAAAAACACTGTGTGTAAAACTCATACAAAGTCAAGTCGATTTTATCTATACAGCCCAATATCACAAATCTGCTTCAGGGGGCTTTACAATATGTACAACATTATGATAGCCTCTGTCCTTAGACCCTCGATTCAAATAAGGCAAAACTTCCTCCAAAAAATCTTTAATGGGGAAAATAATGGAAGAAGCAGTGGGGAGAGAGAACCAAAGACAGCACGCACACATGGGGTAAAGAGAGACAAGAGGTGAGGCTGAATAAAGACCATCCAAAACATCTGGAATGTGGCACAAGCGGCCAGGACAGAGAGAGAAGTCCCAGGATGGCTAATGATCCAGCACGGAGAAGCCTGAGTGAAAAAAGGAGGAGAAACTAGGCAGAGAGTTCGGCATATGGCGTGAATTCTTATGTAATTCTGGCAACAAACAAACAGACGGTTAGAGAGATGAGAGAGAGTTTTCAGTGAGTTTACTGTATCCCCGTCGGCAGGACAAACATAGATTCACTGAGACTTGGACTGACCTGCCAGGAGGATAATGGTAACAGGTACTAGTCCTGAAATCAATTACTCATGCCGTGTTACCTGGAATTTGTAAAGAAAATGTTTTTCTCACATGCCTCTGCTGAACGAAGACTCAAAAAACGGCAAATGTTGATTAATTGACGTAAACAGTGACCACCTTTAACAACAGCAAAACTATATCAAAACATTTGTTCCCAAACCCTCACACTAGTCTCATGGATCCAGTCGTATGCTCAATGCTTTCTGAAGATGTTGCACTGCCTTGCCTTCAGCCCTTTCTGACAGGGACTGAAACTGAAAGGTTGTTTTCCCAGGGTGTGGTTTCTTAAGAGAAAGTTGCTAACACTTTACTCATAGGTATATAAGAGTGACATGACACTGTCATAACTATGACATGACACTGTCATGAACCTGTCATGAACATTATGTACATGTCATAAACGTTTATGACTGCTGTCATTAAGTGTCATTCGTTTTTTGTAATGACAAGTTGACATTGTTTGGGTTGTCTTGATTTTGACAACTTGACATTAATCAAAGCGACATTATCAGAAGCTGTCTTTGTCATGACAAGCTGACATTAAATTTGTTTGGGATGTCCTTATAATGACAACTTGACATTAACCAGGATGACATTACCAGAAGATGTCTTTATGTTAATGTCATGTTGTCATTATAAGGACATCCCAAACCAATCTAATGTCAACTTGTCATGACAAAGACATCTTCTGGTATTGTCACTTTAATTGATGTCAAGTTGTCATAATCAAGACAACCCAAACAATGTCAACTTGTCATTACAAAAAACGAATGACACTTAATGACAGCAGTCATAAACATTTATGACGTGTACACAATGTTTATGACAAGTTCATGACAGTGCCATGTCACCCTTATGTAGAGTGTTACCAGAAAGTAAAACCACAACAGTCTTAAAGCTAGTGGGGACACTGTCTGTTAGAAGGGACAGTGTCAAAAACAATATTCAGCTTGTAGGTTCCAGGAATGACCAGAGACCACCAGTTAAGATAATATTTAAAAAAAGATCACTCAATACAAAATTGTTTCGTTTTACTAGTATAGTAAAGGCAAAAATATTTCTCATTCCAGCACATAATCCCCTGACAGGATGACATTTGGATTGCCTCATGAGGCACGAATGTGCTGACAGGAGAAAAAAAAAAGAAAAGGCTTTTAAGTCCTTTTCACAAAAAATCCCTCAACATTCAGATGAGTTTGTCTGCACTGGATAACCTGCAGAGCCAGACAGTTAATTCTTAATAGTAGCGACTTTTATGCTCAAACACACACACAACCCACTGCCCACAAACTATCCTGCTGTGGTGCATCATGTTGTGTAAAATGGCTACTTTGACACCAAATACTATTTTCTTCATACCAGAAGTCATCTTTTGCCATTTGCTATGATAAAAAAGAAATAAGTAAAAACCATTCAGACAGCAGACTTTACTTGCTCGAGCTGATTAGATTCAGATGTGGCCAGCAGATGTCACTACAGTACAACTCGAGTGCAATGTATTCTTATTTCTATGTGAGGTGACTGAATAACTAAAATGAGAAGTTGTTCATACTGATGATGGATATTGTTATTTTTCTGTAAGATGTGTCTGTACTGCATGTATGTTGTTAGATTGTGATGCTGCACAGAGATTACTGTCTGGTATGTCCTGCCATTTCTACACTTAATAATAAACTACCTAAACAAAAACCGAGTTGACCTTAACTCAATTAATCATTTCGAACCCTTTAAGAGTCAGTGAATGATGTCGCAAGAACATTTTATCATGATTCATTTAGATACAGTCTTTACAGGGCCCGGTAAATTGCTCATAAGTGGTCGTAAGGATTCTACCTTTTAAGCTCGTAGGACTGTTGGCTGTACAAAAAAGCATGTGCAGTATATTTTACACAATGTACAGATGCACACTGAACATTCAGAAGCAGTAAATACTTGGTTGGTCATGCTGGTTTGGTCAGTGTGTGCAGTGGTACATCTGGCGTATGCTTCACAATCAACATATACACAAGGAACATGTGTGTTTACAATGTGTTGTGATAGAGGTTATCATTCCAAGACAAGAGTGAAGTGAACTACATGACATGGCAGCCCCCAGCTACATGCAGCGTTTGTCTGTTAGTTATTGAACCAGCATTAGGACTGATTCCTGCTCCTTCAGTTATTATGTCAGACGACTTAACACTGTACATTCATTATGATCAGACGACGAAGAGAAAGCAATAACATGAGAACAGATTGATAACAAATCTGTGGCATAATTTAAGATTGAAATTTTAAAAGCTACTTCCACTGTCAGTTCAGTCTGCCAGTACCAGTCATACTTTATGTCAGTCTACAATCAGAGACCTCAAAAAGAGCAACGCAGGAATTTCCAAACTGATGCAGCACAATTAGATTATTACTGAGCTGATGTATACTACCAGAAGGCAAAGCAGAGCTGCCCCAACCTCTGAAAGCTCTTTTTTCCATACAGGAAACAAAAGCTTTTGTCCTTTGCGTAAAAAAAAAAAATATCTGAAACTGTCTGATGGGTGTAAGAATTCTCCTTGACATCAGTCAGACCCAGTTCAAGTGCAGTTCATGTGAGTCCAGGAAGTCAGAGGAGAAGACGCCCACTGGCGTTGACATGTCCAAAGGGTTGGCCCCCTCTGCTGGCACAGACAGTGTAAAGTCCAGCCAATCCATATTGTCCATATTGGAGCTGTGCAAGTTCAAAGCAGAGGGTGATGTGCTTTTATTAAAGTCCACCTCCATGGTATCCACAGGTGAGTGTAGCTCCTCCATCAGCTTTAGCGAGCTCTGCGGCTCGGTGTGAGCGCCCAGGAGGGTTTCCAGCTGGGCGTCGGAGGTCAAGGCTGCCAGGCTGGCCGAGGGGTTGAGCTGCGTCGAGGGCAGCTGGGCCACTTGGACCACGGGTGGAGGGCGGGATAACACTGTGTTGATGGGAAGGGTGGTTACACTGGCTGTCACAGGGAGAGGCTTGTCTAGGCTGGGAGGATCCTGTCTGATGAACGGGGAGATCTCTATAAAAACAAGTAGAAAGTTAGGTGTGAGAATCAAATAATCAAAAGTACTTTGCGCCTTATTTTAAAAAGAAAAGTTGCAGTATCTCTCACCACCGCTCTCAATTAACACATCAAACAAGTCGTCCATCTGCTGGCTGGCTGCAGTGGGCCCCTGCAGAGATATAAAAACACCAGTAAATGTTTGAACGGCTATGGCAACAATTTCACAGATATTCTGTACCAAACTGTGCATTTATTTGTCACCTGAACAGCTGTTAGCATGCTGCGTGTCTGTTTAACTGCATCCTCATAGCGGGGCGGGTCTTTACACTTTGACACGTGGTTTGTGAATTTTGGCAAGATCAAACTTGGCTGGCTGGTACAGGGAGACTGTTCAACAGGAAAAGACAACAGTCCTTTACACCATATGAAAAACAGGATACATCTGATACAAATCATCATTCAAATGAAGCTCACACTGTGCAAATAAGCAAATAAACCAGGGCCTCTTAAAAGGCTTTAGACGAAAGATAACGAAAATCAAAGCGAAAGCAGGAGAGACTAAAGGACCCTGTACCTTAGTTGCAGGATCTTTAGGACCGGCTTGGCTAGAGGAGGCTCCCGCAGGACATCCACTCACTGGGAATGTGTTGAGTAAGCTTTGTGCTGTGCTGCCCATCCTCCAAGTCTGCAGAGAAATGTAGACAGGTCAGCATGGAGGCATACATTAGGGAATGATTTAATGCCATCAGTGTGGTGTAATGCTCTCTCCTGCATGCACGGAAAAGTAGTGCATACAATGCCAATTATCTTTGTAGGAGCAATAAACATTTGTGTTGTAGTAACCAAGCTCTCTGGAGGGATAAATACTGGGAATTACATGCAACCTAAATGCTATTTTAGCAACGTTATTTGATTTTCATTGGACCCTCTTCAGTTGAAGCATCGCCACCTTTTACCCCACTACTGACTGTTTGCAAAGTTCTCATGAGTGTTCTCCTCGGTTAGCATTGAGTTGTGGTTTCTGTTGCTAATTCTGGCTTGGTAAGCGCAGAGAGACGACAGAGGGCATTCGGGGCACTACTGTCAGCCGTCACTCAGCGGCTGCTCCACTAACCCAAGTTTCCACAAGCCTTCTTTTGATATGAAAAGGGAAGGATTTCACCACCCAGCTGAGGCCTGTTATTACTGCGGCAACACGAAAGATGCATTACCCATGATAGAGCGTCAACAATGTAAAAAAAAACAAACTGATGTGTGACCAGCCAGTGCCAATAAAAACACTGACGCAGATGTTTGATGTGCAACCTAATCTGAATTTACTGCATTGCAAACAGAATTTATGACTTCAGGTGCACACACGTAGCTACAGATGTTCACATACAACTCTAGTCTTCATATTTCAAAGAAATCCAAAACTACAAATAAAAAATCACAGCTGACAGTGATGACTAATAAAGACATGGGCCGAGGCAGCCCGTGCAAGCATTCGTGTGTTCTCACCTTTGTCGGAGGCTGAGTCTGATTGCTGCATTGCTGTTGTAATGCTGCTGAGGCCTCTATTTTCTGTGGCACCTGTCCAGAGGTCTGGATGAGGCCTGGGGCTGCGCTGCTAACAGTAGTGTGTAATTTAATGCTGTTGGCAGGGAGCTGGATAGTGACTGCTGAGGCAGGACAGGATGCAGGCAGGAGGATCTGAGCTCCAGCCTGGACTGGCTGCAGGCTTTCGGGCTGCTTGATAGCCTGGTGGCTGATGATGAACTGATTGTGAGCAGCCAAATGGCACTGATCTGCCACCTCCTCTTGTTTGATCAACACTGGCAGACTGGGAGAGCTACAGGACGCTGAGCAGGTCGATGAGGTCCGATTTTCCTCTTTGACCTGGATGGGAGCAAGAGGGCTGAGCTGAGGTGGAGAATCTCCTTGCTGGCTCCTCTTCTCCACCTCCAGCTGCATCTTCAGCTCCTCCACCAGCTTCTGCTCCTGCTCCAGCTTCCTCATCAGCTCCTTGATCTGACGCTCCTTCTCGTGGAGACGCTTGTCTTTCTCAGAGTCCTTCGCATAGGACCTTGTTTCAGTGGGACACTCCTCCTGTGGAGCTCTCTGTGGTGAGTTCACACAGGGAGCAGTGTGAGTTGGAGACAGAGCATCTGAATGCTTGGTGGGACTGTCCGCCATACTGCTATCCTCTATGCCCAGACTGGACACTTTGGAGGCGATAGGGGACACAGGAGGTGTTAACTTTGTGTTTTCTGACTGTGAGGCTGCTGTGACGGCTGTTGCCTCAATAGTCTGGATGTTAGAGTTCTCCTGATACAGCTTCAGCCTCTCTATCAGATCTGTCTTAGTCCCAGAAACAGGCAAAGATCTGAGTTTTAGTTCCATCTTCAGCTCGGCAACCTGTAAAGATAACAGAGTATTATAAAACACCTCTTAAAGTTAGCTTGTTCTCCTCTGCAGCATGCATGCATATAGTCAGACTGTGTGCAAACTGCGACGTGTCACCTTCATCTCATCCAGATTAGCTGGTAAATGATCCGGCTTGCGGTTCGTCTGAGTGTGCCGGGCCTGCACAGGAGCAGACGCAGTGTTTCCATTTAGAACAACAGTGGAACAGCTGGTTTGTACCTCAGTTGTTGGTCTGTTGTAATAAAAAAAAAAGATGGGAAGAAAAAAGGGAGTACATATTAGAGAGGGAATCTGAACTATGATCCATTTTTCACAATCAACAGCTTCTGTGTAGGAAGCCGTGGGCAGGAAATGTAAAGTATTTGAGACGGACAGCAGCTGTGGTCAAACAGTTATTACTCTGTGTAAAACTGGGTGTTAACTTTTGATTCAGTTTGTGAAAGGAAACATTTATACTTTAGCAGTGTCTCATCAGATTAAGTAATGAACTCAACACAGGAAGGTTAACTTTATGGGTGAACCCAATCCTATCTCTGGCTGTGATGTGTTAATAAATGGAGCCATACTTGAGTGTGGTGGGCAGGACGGCCTGGTAGCTGTACTGCTGCTGCTGCTGCTGCTGCTGCTGCTGCTGATTTAGGATCTGAAGCTGCAGGAACTGCTGCTGCTGCTGCAGGAGGCGAGCGTAAGCCGAGTCCATCAGCACTTCATTGAGCTCCTGCTTTTGGTCCGGGGGGATGTACTGATGGTACTTTAACTTTTTCACCCGTGGTTTGGGCTCTTTGCTCTTTTTGCTGCGGCTTTTATCGCCGGCTGGCTTGGGCAGGCTTTGCTGCAGAACACAACACAGAAAAGGGGCAAGTTAAAAGCTAAGAGGACCATCTGGTAGATATTTGATCCCTGTGACTGATCTCAGTCCAGTTTATCGGGGAATACAGTTAGCGTTGCCAGTACCAACACTGCACGACTTGGAAGTGATGCTGGACTTTTATAGTTTGAGGCATTAAGGTAGAACATTGTTCTGACACCCGATGAGAACTGCAGGATGAGGAAACGGGTAGTGGAAATGTGACCTTTATTGTTTTACCACCTGCAGTTACAGGATACACATGAAAACGGTTTGGCATAAGAGCAGCAGGTTATAGCTATGTAACCAGAAACTCAAGCTGGGTTGAGCACGCACACACCCTCTGATTTGTTAAACGCATTCTCCTATTGTACTCCGAGGGAGGGAGAGTTCATCTTATGCTCAGAGGATAACTGGATTATGATAAATGCATAAGTTATTGCTTCACTCCCGTCCTTTGATTTTTGGCTTTTACACAGGCCGAACGAGGAAGGCCAGCCTGTCACTTAACCCTAATTGAAGACAAACTGTAGCTGGCGCAGATTTCGGCACAAGGATTTGTGAAGTGACTTTAAACCCTGTCGTTCTTTGAACTGCATTTAGCTTGGCTGAATGCTGACATTCAGTTCACCCTAAAACTGATATGGTTCTCAGAGTGACAAAACACAGACTCGGTGTCTTCTGACACTGCGTCTCTCGACACATTTCCAAAAGAAACAAAACACAAACACAGTCAATAAATCAGAGAGACAGAGGGCTCAGTACCAGAGGTCAATTTCATGTCAGCTGGTTATAAACATTAGAGAGCTGATAAAATGAACTAAACTCTTCTCAATAACTTTTAAAAGACTTTAAAATGACTTCGGTAAGACTGAAAGAAACACAACAAGCTCACCTTCACCAGAAGTGGCCCCAGTGTGACACTGGGGACAACAGTGGTGACTGGCTGAGGTGTAGATGCTTGTTGCTTGCTTTGTTGCTCACAGATGAGGCTGACCACGTCTGATGTGGACTGTGTGTTAGGTGTTGGGGAGTGCTAAAAAAAGCAGAGACAAAGAGAGATGATCTGTAAGGAGAACAGTGAGGCCGCTACGCCTGTTAATCATCATCCCACGCAAGGAAAGAAAAGAAAAGCACCTCAGCTGGAATCATAGAACCAAAACCAGGTTAATAAACACAAAATGTTTCTACACATGATAAATACATTATACAGTACATGGTTATACGCTGTGTGTACATACAGTAAATCAACTGACCTACCAGTGTGCAACCATCCTGAAATTATGATAAGTTACTTCATTCTATTTAAAGAACTGCATAAGCTTAACTTGTCAAGAAGGCTGTTTTTTTCTGCTGATATTAACAGTTCATGTTACATAAGTTTTACCAGTTTAAGGTATTGGTGTACCTGTATGGGGGAGTTTAAGTTAGAGGAAGTAGAAGTGGTCTCAGTCGCTCCAGACTCCCTTGGAGAGGCGGAGGTAGAGCTGGGAGATTGTTGGCTGGCAGGCTGTTGTGGTGATAAGACATCACTGCTGTCTTCATCGAAGTTGTAAATATCTGGAGGCTTAGAGCGTTTTGACTCTTCACCTGTGGGACCAGGATCAAACTGAATTTTTAGAATTTCTGACAATTTAGACATGAGCTGAATGCTATCTGTGCACATACAACATACATACCATTTTTGATTACAGAAGAAAAACTCAAGGTTTTCAGTGACTACAGAGTCAAGAAGCTGTCACATGAATGTACATATGACAACACAGTAGACATGTAACAATACAAAGAGTCTACAGTCATGTTAACAGCTCTGTGAGGTTGTACTTGCTAAATTGAGCGTAGCTTTAGTTCAGGCAGGACACTATGTCAAGCTCAGCTCACATCCCAGCTACATCAGCTGATCTCAAACAGCCAGTCAACTGATGGAGCAGCTGATTGATGGAAGGGAGTCAGCTGATAGATCACATGATTCCTGTCTATGCAACCGACTGGCAAATCTCATTCAGGGCACCCTATTTAAACTGCCCTGGCCTGCGAGTCGCTTTGCAACCCGCCTCCACCCCAGCTCCCCCTTTTCACACTGTGTCTGACTTATCAGTGTCATTTCTGTTTGTCATTGTTGCTGGCTCTGTTCTGTTTCCGAGGGATCTTTGCTTCTACTCTTCCTGCCTTAGGCTTTCCATGTAGGCGCATGGATGGGCAGGGAGGTTTGCTCTGTCTCTACCTCAGGCTTTGCTTGTTTGCACATGGAAGGGCAGGGAGGTTTGCTCTCTACCTCAGGCTTTCCTCGTTTGCACATGGAAGGGCAGGGAGGTTTGCTCTGTCTCTACCTCAGGCTTTGCTCATTTGCACATGGAAGGGCAGGGAGGTTTGCTCTGTCTCTACCTCAGGCTTTCCTCGTTTGCACATGGAAGGACAGGGAGGTATGCTCTGTCCATGTAGGTGCATGGAAGAAGCTTTTTGCATAGGAAAGGAGGAAAGGCAGAGAGGCCCCAGAACAGACCCATACCGCCGAATATAATACTGCAAATGTTGCAAAAGTTTTCTTTGACTTAAGTGTTAACTGAACTACAGTTATCATGCTGATGCGAAGCAGGTATATAACAAGTTTTACAATCTTAGTTTAGTGTGTAAGAGCGCTAACATTTGCTAATTAGCATTTAACACAAAGAAAAGCTGAGGCTAATGGGATGTAAATGGTTTTGCAGGTATTTGCTCATAAACCAAAGTATTGGATAAACTGATATTTTCACTTGATGATGGTGCTAGACAAAAAGTCAGAGGATCACCAAAGTGATTACAGTTAATCCTGAGAGTGACGTGAATATCTGTACCAAATTTCACGAGATAGTTCACTAAAAAACAAAAAATTCAACTGTTAAATTTGTATGTTTTGATAAGTTGAAACTTTACATTTCTTTACATTTAAAATTTCAGTTTTATGTTGTGACAATGCTGTGGTTAATGTGTGGTTAGGTATTTGCACAAAATAGCATGATTAGAGTTAGGAAAAGACCATGTTTGGGCATAAAATACCTCTTTTGTTGCTACAAACATGGCTGGAAATGTTCGGATTTGTCGTTAAAAATACCCGTTTTTGTTGTTTGTCTGATGACCACCAACAGTGGTCTGCTGATGACTGCTGCCCACTGGACAAGCCATCCACCATTCCCTTCTCGTCTTGATGAAAGACTCAGCTCATAAACATGTAATTGGAACTATGTCACTTTAGAAATGTTGTTATGATAAATATGAAATGTAAAAATGTATATCTGTAGTTCTGTGCAATGCCAACATTTTATCTTGGTGTCTGGGCTGAGGAAAAGTCAGGGTATCACCAATGTCAGTAGGCCTCATCCACCAGGCTCCATGAATGTGTGTAAACAATTTAATGGTTGACATATTTCATTGTGGACAGTCAAACACAGGTGTTATGACATCAATAATGGATAAAACGTGACTGATGTGCTGCAATGCTAGCTTGAGTAAACTCCCTAGCTGTCACACTAAGTGGTCCACTGCTAGTGGCGAATGTGATACCAAAGTAGGTTAAAACAAAACTTTTGAATGGCTCAAAAGTTTGTCTTCTGACAGTAAAAGTATAATAGCTTTATTAAGTATTTACCATCGTCTTCTTTTACAACAGAGTCCACAGGCAGGATGTTCTTCTCCACCAGCTCCATGGGTCCAGGCCGCTGGGAGATCTTCTCATTGAGATCATCAGCCAGTCTGGCCCTCTTCAGCTTCATCTGTGTGGCCTGCAGGGAGGGTTCGGCCTGCGTCTCTGATAAATACACAGAGGGTGATTAGCTGTGATACGAGCGGCAGCAGTCGGCCTCCTCACTGCTTTTTCAGGGTGACTCAGTGCAGGCTCAGCTAGACCTCACAAACTTATGTCAACCTCCAAGATATTCATCTGCTTCCAACTTTGTAAAACAAATTTAAACAGGCAATAAGTGCGACTGGATGAATAAGCGCCTCATTCATCTCTCTTATCTAGACGCCATTACCCAGAAAGAACACACAGGAGGGAGATTACCTTGTAGGATGTGCATACGGACGAGCTCAGAGCGCTCAGGCCTGCTGCAGAGTTTGTGCTTTAAGAAGCTCCCAGTCTGTTAAAAAACAATTATATTAAACATCTTCTGGGGGCATAATCTAGATTTAGATGATTCAGATCTTGAGCTGCAGTGTGATGGCATCAGTCTTACCCTGGCTCTCTCCAGGCTGCGGATCTGCTCATGAAAGGCAGCAGGCGTTTTCAGGGCTGTGAAAAGGTGAATCAACAAAATCCATAAATTTTTCTGTTCATCCATGAGCTTCATTCCAGCATTTATTTTTATGTCTTTGTCTTTGTTCTCCTGCATGAGTGCACTAATCTCTGTGCTTGAGTCAAACAGGAAGCCCCAGCTTTACTGACTCAAGCACAGAGATTGCACCATGCAGAGAGTTCCTCCTTGATCTCGCAGAATAAACTCATCCTGCTTTAATCGAGGTTTGGCTCACTGACTAGTCACCTCTGTTATGACGAGCACTGTTTGGTTTGAGAACACACTGGCCGGTTGGTGGGGGCGGTCTAAGGAGTGTGTCAGAGGGGCAAAGCAAAACATTCCTGCTCGTCACCTAAACCTCACTGCATACCTACCATAAGCCTTTAACTGTGGGAGCAGCAGAGTGCTTTGGTGGAGAGTAGCCGGGAAGGTTTATGCACAGGCCACGCTTGGTCAAGCCACTGACCTCCACTGAAGGCTCAGTCGCTGACTCATGTGGCTGTGTGGAGCCAGAGAGGAGCTGAAAGCCCGACTGCAGGAGGCTTCTCAGCAGAGAACAGGACAAAGAGAAAGAGCCTTTTTCTCTTTCTACCTCTCCACCAATGTTATCCGCATAATTCTGTCACCTACTGCGCTCATCTTTTATTAGGTGTAGCACAGGGACTGGGTCTGCTCTATTTTGGTCACATCAAAGGATGGATGGTGTAAAGTAGGAGCTACTTCTTTCTGTTATGGCACTGGTGTGCTGCCTGATGGTGTGGGTTGGGAGCAACGATCGAGACAGAGTAGTATGGCGAGCTAAGAATCATTATTTTATTGCATAAATTATTAACACTGCAAATACAAATTAAACTTTTGGTAGCCTACTAGAATAATAAAATCAATTGTTTTTTTAGTCCACTATATCCTCCTGAGACCCGAACTTTTGTTTAGTATGCATTTTTCATTTCTCCTAGCTATTTGGGATCAGTAGGACCTGATAAGTAAAAAAACTAAACATCAACAATAATTAAGTCCCAATGTCCTCAAACGAGACGATAATAAATTCCCAATAAACCAATGTTGGTCAAATTTGTTGCCATATCAAACTACAAACATTATTAATCATAAATAAACAAGTTTCAAACATAAAATGTGATCAGGTTTTGGACCTTGTCCACTTTTGTGTCGGGATTGGCTGCAGACTGACTTGGCAGAGATGGCTGCCATCTTGTTTTTGCATGAACTAGTGTACTGTGCTCTCCCTGCCACTAGATGGCACAAAAAAGTGTCCAAGAACAAGGACAACAGGTCTAACTTAAGTAGAATGAAGTATAAGGTCAAGTAAACCCAAAATGTGATGTCCTCATATGAGGATGCAGGGTCTCAGGAGGATATACATTTGGCTGCAAAAAAAATGACTAAGATGAGAGATGAGATGATGAAACTGAAAATATTATCTTATTAGATAAGACATATGTTGACAAAGCTTTTCTCTGGGGACATTATTTGCAGTTAAAAAAGAGTAATACATCAATATATCAAGGTATATGCTGTTGCAATGCTCAGCATATTGCAAAAAAAGTTTAAAAAAGCAATAATATTGGATTGGGACTTAAGTATTATGATAATATTGTATCACAGGGCCTCCACTCCCACCCCTAACTCATGGCTTATCTGTGTTGAAGAAATACTTCACTGCCAGAAAGACAGTCTCTCCATAATACTTAGTCTGAGTGGGCGGAAGTTCACTGCATAGACCAGCCTCTCATTGGGCGGAACGAGCCACCCGCTGAAGTCCCGCCCTACCACCTCCGGTTGTGTAGCAGTTTTCAACACGTCCTTTACTAACTTTTGCGGTGTTTTATCTTGCGGGGATGTAGCCATTTTTCTGCCATGGTTCGCGTTCTGTAGGTGATATTTTTTTGGGTGTTTTACACCAAAACCTGTTTCCCCCCGGCAATATTTTTGCAAGCGCACGGTTGCTGTGGCACCACCAAGAACAATTGTGATTGGTTGAAAGAAATACAAGCAGCCGGGGCGTTTTTTTCTCCAATCTTAAAGTGAGAGTCGGCGCAGCCAGACCTTTCTTTTCTTGAGAAAGGTCTGGTGAGCGAGACAACATAATACTAGACAGTCTATGCAGGAGAAAGATGCACATATTTTTCACATCGGTGCTACATGACTAGAGGAAACAGAGCAAAAGGGCTGTGGCATTCACTATTGCCCAAGAGGTAGAAAACCTACAACTACCAGAATGCGCTGTGCCGCACATGACCAGAAAATGCTCCTACTGGTGGGTGAGGTAATGCCAGCTAGTCTGTTTTTCCACAGGAAACAATATGGCAGGCAGGTGCAACAAACTAACTCATTTTACAGTTAAATGGTGAGCTAACATATGTTTCTGAAAACATTTGAGAGGAGACAGGCAACACAGTGACAGAATCTTGGTTCATATTTGATCAGCACTGCTTGGATTTACCTGTTTTTGTTTGGAAACAGTATGGTGCCCACTTCCTGTTCACAAAATCTCACATTACAGCCAAACAGTGCACTAAAATATGTTTCTTAATACATTTTAGGCAGGAAATAGGCAATACAGTTACATAATATCGTTTTATTTTTGATCAGCACTGCCTAGTTTTACAGTTGAAGTTTAAGAGAATGGCTCTCTTTCAGCTTCTCTCTGTGTCTGTCGTGGCTTCCCACACTGTTATGCTACAAAGCTGCTCTAAAACCGGTGAAGTATCCCTTTAAATGAGTCATTTTCATCAGAGACTATGTGTACATGAGCACAATTACGCATGTATTAGCAACAGTCTGAGCAGGGCAATGAACTTCACACTGTCTAGAATAAAGCAATTAATTCATGTGCAGACACACGCGATGACATGAAGTCATTTACACAACTCCTTAAAATAAAACTTCCATTAGTAAAGCAATTGGTGTGAAAAAAAAAAAAAAAACCTTAGACGTATCAGTATAAGCTCCAACATTAATTACACAGATGCAACGTGATCACCTTATACAAATCCACTAAAAGTGCATTATCACAAATTGAAAAATAATGTTGTTTACACTGGTCTCGCCTTTGGCACTGCAAATATGCCCTCCACAAGCCATGAAGATGCTGTGCTTGAGTTAGATGTTAGAAAAATGCTTCTATATGTGTGTATATGTATATGCTTATAATAGCAACAAGATAATGTAAGTGATAAAAAAAAGTAGAATATGTGAGATAACAGGTAACATTGGTCACTTTCTTCTTGACGTACTGAATTAACCTTCATTTATTTCAAAGCAAAAGGTGCAAGTTATGTTTTCGTGCGATGTGAATACTCACGCGGCATGATGCCTTGCTCCACAAGCTGCTCCCGACTTCTTCTCTGCTGCAGACAGAGCTGGAGGACTGTGAGAGAGCAGAGACACGGAGGTCAGGGTTGAACTTTTACCATTACAGAGCCAAGTCCGCTGAGTCAACCAACAACCATCTCTGGCTTTAACTGTGAAACCTGCCAGACTTCAAATAAAACAAAGTACTTATTATTTCCCCAATTGATACTCTACCCCAAAGGCCCAACAGAAAACCCTGTTCACCACCACAGACATCCTATTCACTTCCTGTATGGTTTTAACTAGGGTTGTTAGGAGTACCACAAGTTTTATAACAGTTATACTTGAACATGATTGGCTAAGAGCCTCCCCAATGAGAGTCAATATCTCTGTGTGGGATGCAAATACACAGAAGAGTTTAACAACATAACTACAGTACAGAACAAAAAAAACGATAAGAGATTAATGTTAGGGCTGCAGTCACATGACACCAGCAAAAGCCAAGTGAGTCATGCGTATTTAATAAACTGTTTTTAATATGTAATCTTGCTTTGGGTGGATAAGCAGTGATCAGTTATGTTACTGTGACACATCAAAGACACGACTATCTTCCAGCAGAAATTGTTGAGTCTTGCACGCGGGCCCCACATACAGTCCTTGGATGCTCCTCAGTGTTATTTTCCCATCAGTATAAACTGTAGTAAGATCCCAGTTTAAACATTTACAAACAAGTGAGCGTGGACATGTTATTTCAGTGGAATAACACCACTCCATGGAGAAGAGAAAAAAAGAAGATTGAAGAGGAAGGTAATGGGTGATGGTGAGGAATTAGGCGGCGGTGCGTGAGGTACACGAGACGCTGATTGTTGCCGTTGTAGTGAAGTGAAGCCGGCTTTGCTAGGGCTACTCTGTGGCTCGGGGGAAACTGCTACTCCCACTCACACACACGCACAAATACACACTCACAGACCTGCTCAACTCTCCTGGGAAAGGCGCTGCGTCTGAACAAGCCTCTGTGACTCACTCTAGCAAAAATAAACTGGGCAGCTGTGAGAACAAGGCCTGGGAACCATGAAATTTAGGGGTAGTTAAGGGGGTGGGGTCTCCAGTCGTATGCAGAGCTGAGGGGACGTTCACGGGCTTCCACTGGTGGGCAAGGGAACACAGAGTGACAAGTGCTGAGGCAAAGGGTGGGAGGCCGAGTCTACTCTCACAGCAGCCCATCAACTCTGGGGCAGAGAACACAGTGTGCCTGCCCCGCCTGCTGTGTTTCCTATTACAAACCCAGGCCAGGGGGTTTTGGTCAGCCTGAGACAGATCATACCAGGAGATTGTAAAAAAAAAAAATGCCATTGGTTCCTCTCAATATTCATATCCACTGTGACTTGGAGGAAAAAATAAAAGCCACAGGCAAAGAAATTTATGAGTGCATTTTGCAGCATATCAATAACATCAAAAGCTGCCTTCCAGCGCCACGACAGAATAAAGAGTTTAATTTGAGCATCAGTATGGGGGTACACCTCATGCCTGGGGTCCTCCTCACTTTGTGTCATCTTGTGTTCAACCTGAACCCTGGCTAACCTCTCCATGATGCAAACTGGCTCCGCTCTCCTGCTCACCAGCAGAGCGTAAACAGAGGTTGTGGAGGAACACAGAGAGAGAGAGAGAGAGAGAGAGAGAGAGAGAGAGAGAGAGAGGGCTCGGCTGAAATCCCTGTCTACTGATGTAATCTCTAATCTCAGACCCATGTTGTTCTCAGCAAATCATCCCTGGAGGTCTCCCAACAGAACTTTTATTTTATTTGACTTTTTTTGTTTTTTTAAAGAAACGGTACAAAAAAAAAAAAAAAAAAAGATAGTCTTTGCCCAGACAAAGCTGACTTTAGTTTAAAAACAGACTGACACTGGGTTATGTTGACTTTACTGTTATAAATACCAAAGACTCTAAACAGAATCCCATTTTAGCAAAGATCCAGGCATCTATAACCAGGGACAGACTAAACCATGAAAATACAGATCACACTGGTTTATCAAAAAAGACTTGTGTGTGTGCAGTACCTGGTTCAGATGATGGAGAAAATCAAATATCATGATGTATTTGTGACTTTTGTTGACTTTTTTGGACTATTTGGGGCTTTCACAAAATATTAACACAATGAGATGTTTAATAAATAATCATCAGTTATATGGATATCGCTACTAACAGCTAGAACAGTCCAGTTAATTCAGAGCTTACGTCACTTCACTGTAATGCAGCCTTTAAAACCAGGAAAAGACAACACTTACACTACTATGATATCCAAAATCGAAGGCAATATCTCATCTCATATCACTATATCGATATAATATCAATATATAGCCCAGGCCCAGTTCACAACCTGCACTCATGTGCAGCAAAAAGTACGTATGAATTCCACTGAACTGACAGACTTTGTCTTGTATCGTTAGAAACCTGGAAAAAATAAAGTATTGTATAATCAGCTTGTGATTACCGAAAGGGTCTGTAAACATATCGGCTGACATGTTCTAAAATTAAACTTTACCATTACTCATTTTATCCTGAATCAGTTCAGCAAAGCAGAAACGTATCAGCAAGGCCTACACAGTATAAATTAGGTGATTGTTACATAATGATGGAGGCTGTGTAGAAGGCAAAATGCGGCTGAACACTGGATCTAACTTGAAAATAAATGATGCTAGTTAATAACTTAAAGATAATTTGTAACCACATCCTAGTGGTGTGTTTTTATTCCAAAGTAAAAGAGCCTAAAATGAAGCCTGACTCAAAGAGACAAGAAAATACACTGGTTTCCTTCCCCATGAGTGGGCATGTCCTGTGTCTCTGTGTTGGCAAACTGGTCTGGGTTTGGTTAAGATGAGTTTTATATATAGACAGGTCATGAATAATAATTTATTGACATGGAATTTAAATAAAATGTTGAACCTGCAAATCTTGCATGATGGCTGGGACAGAAAAGAACTTATGTTTGATTACTTCTTGCATGCTATAGCCACATATCCAATACTAGAAAAGCACTCCACCAAGTAGGTGATATTCCCTCCCCCTCTGCATCCGATTTTGCAGCCTGCATCACAATTAGGATATTTGCATCACTATCATTATTAGGTTATATATGCCTTCACCATGGAGACACTGTGGTGTATTTATTTCATTTTTATTTTGTACCAACACAGAATATAATATGTTTTTTTGTATTTTTCATTTTCTTTTTTTCCAACACAGAACATTAATTTCAACTTTAGAATTACAGCAATATTTAGCAAGTAGAACAAGACGTTCTTTCCGGCCACCAGATGGCGCTATTTTCACCGTCTTTAAAAATTGGAATTGCTGCTGAGGCTGTCAGATGATAGACTTTTTTATTATTTTATCCACTTTGCTTCAACCGATCACCACCAAAATTTTAGCATCTGTTCCTTGTCCCATTATCCACCTTTCCTGCAAATTTCATCAAAATCCGTTCATAACTTTTTGAGTTATTTTGCAGACAAACAAACAAACAGACCAACGCTGGTGAAAACATAACCTACTTGGCGGAGATAATTATACACTTTTGCTGAGCTTGTTGATATGCATCTTACTCTGTCTCAAAATGCACCCTAGACAGCACATTAACATATGTGGTTGGCAAATATTTTTCAAATGTGATTTCACAGCTAACTATAATCTGGAAGACAACCGAAACACTGGTAACACTGGTTTTACTATAGAGCTGCAGATTAACTGATTAGTTGTCAACTATTAAATCAATCGCCAGCTAATGTGATAATCGATTAATTGGCTCGAGTAATGCTTTTAAGATATAAAAAAAAGTCAAAATTCTTTCTTGCCAGCATCTTAAATGTTACTATTTCCTGAATTCTTTACTCCCCTATGACAGCAAACTGAATATCTGTGGGCTGTTAACAAAACAAGACATTTATGGACATCCTCTTAGACTTTGGGAAACATTGATCGACACTTTTCAACATTTTATAGACCAAACAACAAATCTATCAATTGAGAAACTAATCAACAGATTAATCAGCGATGAAAAACCCACAAAACCACAGCTCTGTTGTGTTTTAAACAAAAAAGAGTCGACTTTACTGAAGGCCTGCTCCAATCAAACAAAATCTTGATCAGCAGCATATCTGGTTAATACATCTGAATGAAAGTCATTGTATTTATACTCCCATTATAGGTGTGAATTCATTATGTAATAGAAAACCATGGTAGTGTTTCAACAGAGTGCCAATACAAACAGTATAAACTGGGTTTTAGACTCTGGCTCTTTTCTGAGGCAACTTTGATTTATGATCCACCCGAGCACAATAGTCTCTCCTGTAAGATTGATGCTTGGCTTGAGTCACCGTGATGAGCTCTACTGTTTCCCTGTCATTTCCTGTTGAGGCTGCGTCTACGTCACTACAGACCTCCTGCCAGTTCTGCCAGCATCAGCAAACATTAAAACGAAGAAAAAAAAACTTTACGTGGATAAACAAACAACATAATGAAATGCAGGCAGGTTAGAAAAGGAAAAGAAGAAGCACCTGATTTGAATTTACCCCTGCAGATGGAAGGGGTCTCCACATCAAGGCAGGCCATAGAGGACAGAGGTGGTTTGCTTGGCGGCCAGGTCTGGAGTCCCATGGAGTGATGAGGCCAGTGGAAAACGAGGGAGTCAGGGAGAGAATAGACGCAGCTCTGAGCGAACGACAGCTGGCTCTCAGAGCTGCAAACAGTCCCTCCTCTCTGGCTCTGTGCTGGCCTCAGTGGAGAAAGTGTGTGTGTGTGTCAGAGTGTGTGTGTGTGTGTGTCAGAGTGTGTGTTAGTGCTCAGTCAATGTCAGGAGGAGGGAACACAGTGCTGCACATGTTAACCCTCTCTGGGTAATTTCTCTCTACTCACAGAGGGCTCATCATCGTACTACAGCGCAAAACCCCGGGGAACTTTTCACATTATCTTTTGAATTATCAGCTGGGGACCAAGTTGCGCACTGGTAACCAATACATGGTTGATCAAAACAAGCTGTTGGGAACTTTTGAGTGGGCACATCTCCATGAGAAACAGCATGAGTTTGTTTTTTTCTTTTTCTCCAGGAATCTTCGTAGCACTAAATAACAATGACACATGCAAACACATTGGGTCCTCGGGGACATGGAGGCTTATCTCTGAACATTTTTTAACAGTTACTTAAGAGTTTAATGTGACATTTGTAGTGATCATTGATGTCAATGTTGTTTTCCATTGCAACACCATTGATTTATAGCAGCAAATGTCAGTGTCATCTTAGCTAATGTGTTAAAGGGATACTTTGCCAGTTTTCAACCAGCTTTATGTCATAACAATGTGAGCAGTATGTGTAAATAAATTGTGCTATACTTTCCTCCATCTCACATTTTGTGTCATTCAGTGAAGTTCTGATGGCTCTCAGGCTGTTGCTCGGACTGCAGATTGTACTTCTTCATTCCTGTTTACTCGTGGTCGCCACGGACACAAAGAGTATAGAGCTAACCCCCCGAAAACTCAGATCAAACTGTAAAACTATGCAGTGCTGATCAACTACAATCAAAGATTATGTTAGTGTATTGCTCATTTCTCGCTTAAAATGTTTTCAGGAATATATTTTAACTTAGTGTTTGCCTGTAATTCCAGATTGTTTGTTACCTACCAGCCAGACGCCATATTGTGTATCCTTGAGCCAAACTTTGGGTATGTATTTTTGATTTCTCAAGTACTTCGTAATCACCAGCATCTTAGCTTATTACTGTTGCTAAAATTGGTCAAATCTGTTGCCATATCAAACTACAAACTTTATTTATCATAAATAAACATGTTTCAACCATAGAATGTGATCAGGTTTTGTACCTTGTCCACTTTTGTGTCGGGATCGGCTGACTTGGCAGAGATGGCTGCCATCTTGTTTGTACATGGATTAGTGTACTGTGGTCTCACTACCACTAGATGGCACAAAAAAGTGTCCACAAATGAGGACATCAGGTCTAAGTAAAGCAGAATAAAGTATATGGAGCAAAAGACCAGAAATGTGATGTCCTCATATGAGGACGCAGTGTCTCAGGAGAATATTGTAAGGCGTGTGTAGCTGCAGCATTGATGTATAAAGAGACCTGGATACAGCATTGGAGGCAGGACTCTGGCCATTCGTATGAAAGTTGTTCATTGGCGCATGAAGCCAAAAATGTTCAACTGCTGCGTATAAAATTACCCGCACTGCTTTTGCATCACTGGGCGTATAGAGCAAGGACACTACAGACTGCAACTGACCAAGCAGGTTACTTCCGGTTTAACACTCCGCTAATTTGAATGGGATAAAATGATTTACTCTTGCGGCTCTTCTAGACTTTCCAAATGTTAGCAAACCAAATGGATCGAATTCTGATGGTGGACTGGCTCATTTCATGGAGGTTGTGGCCCTAAAAAATGTATCCACTGATTTACAGATGTCTCTTTCAAAAAGTCTATGGGAAGTCTTTTTGGGCCCGACTCTATCACACGATGAGCTCGGAAATTGTAATTCCACTGCTTGGCTTCAAAGCCTTGCGCACATCCTGGGGGCCTGAGCTGCCGCCATATTCCGTTTGAGCCTACAGGACACGCCCCCACACAGACCCACCAACACAATGGTTAGAACCATGATTCACCTTATAAGTAACAAGATGTAACCCTTACCCTTACCCTAACCTTAACTGCTTCTCTTTGAACCTAATATTTCATGGCTATAGCTAAATGCTAATGTAGCTTTTTCTTCAGGGCTTCCACTTCCTGACTGAGGAGCAAAGGGAACTGAGTGTAGGTATGGTGGGCAGCCATGTAGCTGGTGGGTGGATCACATAGCTGCTCCAGTTGCAGCATTACTTACTTTGTTAAAACAGCCAAGCTCGCATTAAGTCAGCCAGTAGTGGAATTGTAATAGGCTCGGGGTGGCATAGTGCATTAGAGCAAAGGCGTTTTCTCTGGTCATATAGCACCAATTTCAACAATATCTGTGTCTTTCTACTGCATAAACAGCCCAGTTTTGTGAAAAGGCCATTCTTCCAGCTGTGAAATACTCATTTATTCCCAGCAATTTCAAATTGCATGTGACCAGTCATTCAAAAAATGTCATGAGAAAACATTAAAATAAACAAAAGAGGAGTACAAAATTCACAGAGGGGACAAAGGGGAGCAAATGCAGGGGCTCACATAAAAAAATGTGCTTATTCGTGGCTTACAGCCATGTTCAGACGCAATCCATGACTATAACACACGAACAGGAAAGGAGATAAAAAGGGAATTACACTAATTGTGATGAGTTCCCGTATGTCAGGAAGGAAGGTAAGAAAACACTTAAAGCTAAAGAGCAGGCGTCCGATCCCACAGAGGATCTGATGTCAGGGTGAAGCTACAGAGACGCAGGATGCTCTCAGTCCTCCGGCTGCTCCTGTGATATTGACTGAGCAGGACAATGCATGCTGGGGAGGACCAGACTGCTGTGTTCTGGATTAATAATCAACAGCATGGGACAGGGGACACATAGAGTTGATAAAGTAAATGGGACTGGTACAGTCAGGCACAATATGTTATGACAGGTCACCGCTGGGACTGAATAATGGTGTACAAGACCATAAAAAATACTGGAGAGTAGCTGGAGCGCTTTAGTATGTGGAAAAACATCTTTCTGCATGTCACTCTGTCCGTAAATACGCAGAATTCTTTTGTAAATTTCCATTTCGCAAGAGTGTTGGCCACAGAAACAAAACAACAGATTTTATGAATGCCTCATACACCTGTTTTTCCCACAATCAAAACCCCTCTCCTGCATCAGAGACAGCTAGGGGCCTTAACATTCCAATCACAGCCCAGAGTAATACTGCTTCTTCAGTGATAATTTAAAAGTCTAATTCCCCGTCTTATACCACAAGGTGTATTAATTCAAGATGTTTTACATTTAACACAAAAACAGATTTGAAAAAAAACCCCTTTGTTTTCAGATCAATTACATTAATATCTTTTTACCACTACAACAATGTCACCGCACTGACTGTTATTAATAGCCATACATCCATCTGTTTCCCACTGGCCAGCTGTTTTTCATTCTCGTCCACCATCATGATTGCTCTTTTAGAACAGAGCGAAAACATACGAGTTTACAGGTGCAGTCACTAAGCAGCGTTTGATTCATGATGCAGCTCTGCGTTAAAGAAAGATGAAATTCTTCTCCCTCACAACAAATCACATAGCTGTCTGAAATGTCCCAACATGTATGAAAAGATTAAGGGTGCTTTCACACCTGTAGCTCTGTTTATTCTGTTTGGACCAAAGAAAGAGATCATACATCACTGCTTTGAAGTTCTGGTCCGGTTCATGTTCATACTGATTTAGTACAAACAAACCAAGAGCTGTAAATAACAAATTCACACAGAGAAGACCAAGCAGCAACCTCCGGGGATGACGAGTGAAGCCAATGCGGAAGTGCCAAAAACTGCAGTTCATTGAATGGCCACTTGAGGCTGGCTCCAGAAGCTAGTCAATCCTACAGTACAGGTCCTACAGTCGATGAGACAAACTCATTTGCTCATTTGCATGGACTCATATGGACTCATATCAAAGCCAGGAGACTTAAATTGTGACTGCTGCTTTTCCACTAACTTTTTAATAAGCAACTGTCAATACACGGAGCAGGGCACTATAACCAGATGGATTAAATAGTCAATGATTGAATGATCGAAGGTTTCTTTTTCTTTAAGAGCACCAGAATTTGTTAATTTTCTTTTTGAGCAGGATTAAACCGTATTTTTAAATCATGCTAAATTTGCTTATTTACTATTGTAAAATTCTGTGGTTGGCCCATTTTGCTTTCACACACCAAATGAACCATACAGCAGAGACCCTCCTTTTACGGCGGTCTTGGTTGTTTACTCCCTACTACAGTCTGATTGTGCAGCAGGACTTTGGTTTGGTTTTATTTTGTCATAAACCCAACCAACCAATTATACACAACACACTGACGCCAGCCTAAACAAACCAATATAACAAGACAAACATGCCCGAGTTCCTTTATACCGAACCAAAAAGGGTAAGAAGCAAGAAGACAAGAAAGAAAAGGGTAAAGCTGATATTATAGTGCACAAATTATGGTGTAGTTTTAAACATATGTGGTACAATACCCATAAAATACTTACAATAGAAGGGCTGGAGGGAAAACAATGTATTTAAGTGAGGCAGAGAACAGAAAGATTAGACTAACTGACGATAATAATAATTATTATCAATAATGCTGGGGTACAATGATGTTGTTTTCAAGTAGGCAGTAAGCTTTAAATTGTGTTTTATCACCACTGAAGAACAAAAAGTCTCCCAAATAGCTAATTGCAGAACAACACAACTAATTTTCCAACTGGAAAACGTGTTAGTCGTGCTTGTTCTGCCTTATCGGCTCCCTGAAGACAGCTAAAAAGCATACTATACAGTTTTATCACGAGAAATGACGCCACCATAATTAGTCAACTAATTCCACAGAATGTCACTGATGTTTCCCCTCATTTATGTGTCATCAACAGTCCAATGTATTTATTCATCCCTCATACACACAGACATGACCCTCCCTGTTGCATAAGTGTTGTCTTCTTCCTGTGTACCTACATATTTGTACCAGCCGTCACCCACAGGTATTTTATTTGGTATCCCATGTGTACAAAGCAACACCATAAATTCCAAGCCGTATAATTACTAAGGAGTAAGCTGTGTCACGTCAAGTCACTCT